AAGTTGAAGTTGAAGTTGAAGTTGCAATGTACATGTTCGCAGTTTGAATCAATTCTAATTATGTGATTACTATCTGTCACTTAAAGTCATTACATTATGACGCACAATACAATTACTGAGCTAATGTAAGTTCTAATTGAAGTGCGAGCAAAGTAGCTCTGTAGCGCTCTAAAAGAACATGGCGAATAGAACGCGCCTTCAAGACCAATCCACTGAAGAAGCAAAGTTCAATATATTGAACCCCGATGGCGCGTTCGCTGCCCAAGACGCACAACCGGGATCGTTGCAGCAGCACTGTCGCACGTTCATTTTACAGTCGGTTGGTCTCAAGCGATTGGCGCGCATCGTCGATCTGCCAATTCCGCAGACAATGGTTAACTTTTTAGCCAATCAGCTCTCAGTTGACGATTTTTACGTCAATCGAAATAACTTGAACTCAGAACATTTGACGCATTGTGTGTACCCTGCTAAGTGTCTATTGGACATGTCGGAGGTTTTACTGAAGTGCGTTCCTCCGTGTCTTGCTGATGAGCGAGTCAAGTCGATCATGGAAGCTTGGAAGGGGGTAAGCCATCCAAATATTACTCATAATCTAGTGCAGTTCAACCAGGGCGGAACCGAAATAATCGTCTTTGAATACCCCCCAGTTGCGCTTGTGGATGTCCTTACAGAGCAGAGAGAACTACGGAGGCTTTTGCCTGAATACTTAATATGGAAAGCTTTTAGTGGGCTGTGCTCCGCTGTTAAATATCTCAACGAGAAAGGAATTATCTACGAGACTTCAAAACCTACCGAACGGATTTCTTTTGATGAAAGCGGAGCCTTGAAACTGGACAGCGGTTTGCTATACATGGCCTCTGCACAGGATAACATGAACGCAATGGCTATGGGGGATAGTAACACCGGACTATATTCCCCGCCGGAAGTTTTGAAGGGGCAACAATTTAGCCCTGCAAGTCAAGTATGGCTACTTGGGTGCGTCCTTTATGAGCTTGCGGCAATGGAACCCGCTTACAAAATCCAAGGCACAGACATGTTCACCGCGTTAGCAAATATAATGGAAGGGAGACTACCTCCAGAGATCAATGCCTGCTTCTCTGATGACTTAAAGACGACGATAAACGAATGCCTAAGAGGTGATCCCGAATCGAGGCCGAGCGTAGAAGAACTTACGAACAGGGCAACAGTAGTTACGGCGAGAATGCACGAGGGGTATCAAGGACGGGAGATTGTGGATCTTTAATTACGCGAAGAAAAACAAACAAAAGTAACGCTGAAGCGCAGTTTCCTGGGAGGGCCTGAGATTAACATCTCATTCTGAAAATCAAAGCAAGTCACTGATCTGATCTAAGACAGCATTAATTGGTGAAACTGAATTTTCAAACCAGACTTTGATTATTGGCAAGTAATCATATTCAAGTTGGACAGCAATGAGTTGATTGGCATATCGTTTAAAACAGCGTAAAACTAGAAAAGGGTCATCATGACTATGAATGCACAAATCGCGCAATCAAGAAATGTAAAGCGTTTCTCACTTACACTCATTTCCAAAAAATGTATCTATATATGTATAAAAAGTCCTGATTCGTTTTTTAAAACAGTAGTACAAACACTACAGTTCTTATATTAAATTTATGTTTGGTTTTGTTTTCTGTACGCTCGAAACCTCCACCTCTTCCTGGCAGGGTTTTTCCCTTAGAAATTAATTGAAAAGCATCCGTCACATTTTCTTTAAGGGACCGAGGGCGCGTCTACAAAAACCTCACAAAAACAAATTCGTGCTGCTTCAAACTTTACCGAGCTTTTTCCATCTCGTTCAATTCGGCAAATACTGGTGAAATTTTCTCGAGTTAAATTCTAAAGGACTGTATTAAAGTTCAGGGGAAAAAAAAAGGAAAATTGCTGTCTTGTCTTCACGTCCTCCACAAAACTTGAAACTAGGAAGTTTCACGTCGTAGTCGTGCAACGTGCAACGACGGCAAAGAAATGTACAAAAAAGGGTGATGCACGTGCAAAGTTGTTGTTTTGCTTATCTGAACCTATTGCTTTTTGGCCATTCTCGTTACCGTCGCCGTCGTCGTTGCTTAAGCTCGCTAATGTAAGGGGAAAAGCCTTGGAGACGAGGTTGTAGAAACCTTTCGCGTTCTTTGCGCAAGGCTCGCATCTGAACGAGAACATCTAAGAACAGTATATAGTATATGTATAGCGTGCAAGTAAGTATCCTGTATCCAAGCTCCCCTGGGGCCCTCTTCACTCCCCCACCCCCGTTCCCCCGGTAACCTCAGGAGAGCTTGGTCGTAGGCTAGCAAGTAGGCCTCCGGGGGATTATTTAAAAAGGGGGGAAAACTTTTCCTTCCTTTCTCCTTCTCATTTTTCTTCTCTGCTTCGCGCTATCGCTTCTTAGCGAGCATCGCAGGCCATACATATTCTGCTTTCAGTTATAAGGAAACGCGGCGACCAGAGCGCTTTCGACACTAGCAAACCCTTACACACAACAATAGGCATATTCAGTAGAGACTACGCAACGAAAGTGTGGACAGCGGGCGCAGGCTTTTGTCGCAGCCCTCAGTTAACCACCTACAAGGTTTAACCAAAGACAGAACGGCAAATTGCGCACCGGGGAGACCCGTTTCAATCTAGCGCGCGCTTTTGCCTTCTCACTGGACGTTACGTTGTCTTTGCCTATAGCCAAAACTTCCTGTAATATTCAGGAGCGCAACATATTTGAGGTCACGGAGCAATTTCGAGGTAAGATAAATTTCAATGTATTTTAGCTCGAGAAGGCTTCGTGAGTGTGAAAATATACTGAGCATATTTTCACATTGTTTAGCTGAATGGCTTCTGTTAAGGGAAAATAATAGAAAACTATAAATCTTAACCTTTTAATAGTAAGGCTTTTATACATCTACCCCAACCCGAAATCATGGATGCACTACCAAGGGGGAGGGGGTGCTCCAGATTTCAAGTGACGGGGATGATCGAATCACTACTGGGGGCACAAATTAAAACGAGAAAAAAAACCCTCGAGCTTCCAACAAAACCCAAACTGTGAAATCCGTGGGTCGTTTGTGGAACGAAACCTGAATTACAGATAACAACTGACGAGTCTCTATTTCTCCGTAAAACGTGACTTTCTCCTGGTGACGTGTTTTGAGTTTTCTTCCTTTTTCTTTTTTGTTTTTGTGATTCGTTGCTCGCGAATTCCGTACACATGAAACAGCGAGTTTTTGATGACCGTGATATATTCAGTCGGTTCAGTAGTCGTATCTTTATTTGAGATTGGGTTGAGAAAATATCTTTCAGTTTTAAATGATTTTCCAGATGTTTTGGCTTCGGAACATTTTTTCCTAAAATCTTACTGTATTTTACTGAATTCGAAGTTGCCACCGATCGGCTAAATTTAATCATGATAATACTTACTTTAGAGGGCAATTCCCTAGGATATTCCGCAATGTTAAGATGCATGATCTCAGTCAGATTCTCTGGATTTGTTACGTCGTATGTTCGAAAGTGAATTCCCGGTTTCGAGCGTAGTAATTATACCGCCTTCAGCTTGTTTGTACTGATCGGTGGTGAGCCTCATACTTTGCTTGATTTAGGATCGGAGGGTTATTGTGGAATATAAGAAACCCCACCGAAACTGGCTGCAAAAATAAATCGACCAAAACCGCAGAAGAAAAAAATGGAAAGCGAAATAAAAAAATCAAATTCTTATAAACACGATCATTTTTTCCTGCTAGAGGTCGCGCCTCTTTTCCCTGGTATTCCAGTTCGGCGTGCTCGAGAAAAAGAGGGATCATTTTACGTTTCTGGGAAACTGCCCACCTACCCCTCCCCTAAGCCTACATTAGCACTTACTTTCCACTTAGGGCAAAATGTTAGCTTAGGGGAGGGGTAGGTGGGCAGTTTCCCAAAAGCGTGAAATGCAAAAAGAGACCTCTGCCTTGGGCCGATACGGACCGAATAACAGGTAGAAGAGGCTTCTTCTAGTAGGGAATGATTAAAACCAGGATGTTAAAACCGAAAACTGATTGTGAAAAAGAGAAAAAACCGACAGACAGAAGACTTTGGATGTAAAAGCCGAATTATTCCGTATCCCAAAAATGGACAAATCAGAAAGACCAAAATTCAAAATACCTTCTCATTTAGATTTGAGCTGAAGATTCCGCTCCAAGTGTGGATTATATTCTTGCAGATTCAAAAACCATTTTTAGATTCTTGTAAAGATCAGAAACGCAAAATCCATTCCGGGTTATGATTTTCCCAAGGGAGCGGGACCATAGTTTGAAGGGAGGTTGGAAACAAGAAAGCACGTGAAATGCGGCATGGGAGCTTCCATGTGAGCATGTGACACTAGGGTTGCTAATTTTGTTACGACAGTAGCCAATAAGAGAGAGGAATGGATTACTGCTTCAAAAAAAGCCCTAAAAACAAAAAACAAAACAAAACGAAGCAAAGTAAAATTAAAACAACAGCAACAACAACAACAATCGTCGGCTTATATAAATCAGTAAAAGTTAAACCGAACTCTTTAGTTAAGTTGTTTTGCGTCTGCTGTGTATGGGTCTCTCTCTAAACTATGATGAAAAGGTATATAAACACCATTAGCATGCGATAAAATTTGTAAGTTAAAAAATTAGGGACCTTTTCGAGTTGTCGTTGAAGAAAGCAGAACGCAGTTCTGAAACCAAAAGCTTTGAACTTTGATATTTCCTTTTTTGGCCGAAAGAACCGCTTCTTTGATTGGCTTATTTACATCCGCTTCCCAAATATGGCGCGTTCGTAAAAAATTGCGCCAGTGTGATTTTTGAAAACATCGAACCTCCATCATTGCTAAATTTCGTACTTTCATCATATTTCTTGCGTAAGATTCAATCTTCTGAGCCGCGTGACTCAGAATTAGCTTGTATAGTTGGTGGAAGATAAGCTAGACAGTTTCGTGGATATTTATTTTCATTATGTCGGATTCTACTCCTCCTGAAACAGGCAACTTGCTGGATATCGATTCAACGGGCACTGAAAATCAAGATGTGTCGTCCACGACGCCCCCATTCGATGAACCAGCGAAAGAAGAAGAAGAACCTTCTCTAAATAATGATAACGTGTCCGATGAAAAAGAGGACACACCAGCTGTCGAAGATCTTCCAACAGACAGAACAGAAACCGAAGAAAAACCTGACGAAGCGGCCCCTTCTACCAAAGGTTAGCTTGTACTTTACAAGCTTGTAAGCACACTTAAGCTTACCATAAACTTTTATATTTGTGGCTGGTTTAGCTCGTACTTTGTGCAATAGAATATCCCCTATTCTGCCACCTACCTTATGTCTTTTTGTCTTGCTTGGGTAGACGTTTTTGGAAAACTTAGATTTTAAAGTGCTTTGGCCTCACTCGAACCAGCAGAAAGTCATGGGAAGGCTCGAACAATCTCGGGTGTGTGAAAGTCAAATTAGTTTCCTTCGTGTCAGTCCGCTCAAAATGAATTCCTTGTTTATTTTCTAGAGCTAACAAGCCGCCCTGCTCGGTGGATGAAGGAACATGGAGTCGATCAGAGAAGTACAGTTTAATAACAAATTGTGCAGTTTGAAGACAAGTTACTGTACGTTGCGTTTAGATAACTTGTTTAGTAGCAAGCACGGTACTTCAATCATCCTGCACAGTTTTTCACTTGACTAATAACATAAACTTTCAATCGCCATTAAATTATAGCGACAGAAGAAAAAAATGTTGGAGAAACCATCAGAAATATACTGTGATTACAGTAGGTACGAATGGACGGCGATTGAAAACTGTATTATTCCAAATTATCGACTGTTTTCTTTGTGGCCGCTGGGCGCTGCCTTCCAAACGGAAAATGCAAGGAGTTAATAAATATTCGGGCGCACCCAATTCGTTAGTTGATTAGCAACACCATTCACTCACTAAATAGCAAACCAGCACCACAAACGAATCGGCAGTTATAGTTAAATCTCATAATTATGTCGATTTTAAAACCTCGTGGCCCAGTGGTGATATCAAATCAAAAAGGGTACTAGTGAATTCTTAGTTGAGAAAGGCCATTTTATATATTTGGGTCTGCAACTGATGTAATCTTCCCTATTTAATCAGATATGTCTTTTTTCATTTACTTTTTTCATCAGAAAATGCTCTTCATTCATCCATTTGGTTCACATGATTGCTTTGTCGATCATGTCACACTGAATTATTTATAACTTCGCCGGAATATTTATTGTTTTAAACGCTGTAGTTTCGGGTGGGGCGTTTAAAATAACCTCAATCCGAAAAGAAGTACAGTAAAGTGTATTCGACTGTGAATTATTTGCAGTTTAGTTGGTCTGTCTATGTTTAAAGTAATAATAAAAAAACTGTGTTTTATTAGTTTCGAACGTTCAATTTTCTTACGTTCTAAGATCAAAGTCCTTACACCTGCTGCTGTGTGTACTCTGCATGTTTTCTTTGCAATATTCAGCTTTTTAGTCGTGTTCTTTGGAACGATTTTTGTATTGTGTTCAGCTAGTTAAAGACTAATGTCATCCATGGGCGCCTATCATGGGAAACTTTCATGTTGCATGAATCTTACAAAAGAATATTTTCTTTAGTTATGTTAGTATACATTGTGTGCAAATTTTGTGTTCTCTGATGCATTTCTCTGTTTACTGTTTAGACATAGTGACATTGTTGGAAAATTTAACATGTTGTTTTATAATGTTTCTTCCTTACTTCTAAATGTCAATTAGGTATTTAAAGGCATGTTTAAAATTGCCCTGCATTTAAGAAAATTAAAAAACCCTTTGGATTGAAAGTTTTGTTACATATGACTTTCATAATTTTTTCCTTTTTGGGGGAGGGAGAGGGGGGAAGGTGCTCTGTGAAAACTGAGACAACAGCATTTAAAACTAATTACACAGTTTTTTATGAAAATCAACACTTTGCTGGAGCTTAGTGTTGATGTTTTTAATATATCAAAGGAAACAGAAATGAGGTACGAAACCGACTTTATCAATTCTGTTATGAAAGAGAACTTTAGTCACCTATGGCCCTTTTTTTTAATGGAATGGGTTCAGATTTTTCTTAGTCGTTCCAAGTTTTTTGCTTGTATGAACATGCCTTATACCATTCAAGATGCCTTACTTTACTTACTACTTTATTTTAGTTATTGACTTGATCTACTGGCGCTGTCTGAAAAAGACTGGGATTGTAGTGGTTACCGGTCTGGTGTTGCTGTTTTCACTGACCATGTACACTTTCCTGAGTGTGGTGACGTTCTTCTCCATGGCATTGCTGACTGTGTCCTTGCTGTATAGGGTTGGCATGACTGTCATGGGTGCAATCCAGAAAACAGGAACGGATAATCCATTTAAGTAAGTGTTTGAAAGGCTCATGTTTTAAAGGCATAGTTCCATACTCAAAAATACAAACTGCTAAAATTTTACGGATTGGTAGAAGGCCTCTTCGTCTTGTTTGAGAACCAAGCCATCATCGCAGGGAAGCAGAGGGATGTTTGTTCTTATAATGTACTGCTATGTCTTACTGAATAGGTTCAGTATTTTATGGATTATATGCTCTTTCTGGTGGTGCTATCTTTTAGATTCCTTAGTTACGGATAATTTATTTCCAGGGATTTGATAACTCTTTTCATGATCTTTCATATTGCTTCTTGAGCACTTCTTGTGGTCACTGGGCCTACACGTATATACCTTGAATTCTTGTTTCAACGTCTTTTTATAAAAAAAAACGGGAATTCAAACATAATTATTTTCATTTGCCTTGTTGATCTAAAGCTAATGACACCTGGGGATACAAAAATACCTCAACAATTTTTCTGTTGTTGCTGTTGTTGTTGTTACTATCACTATTATAGAAGAACAAGAAATTATTATTGTTATTATTGCTATTACTATTGGAAAATCTCATGAAATTGTGCCTTATGAGGTGGTAGATTGTGAAAATTTATCAACTGCCAACCTACTACAAGATGCATTGACTAAAAAATGCTTTGTGCTATATTTTAGGACAATTCTTGAGAGAGATGTTGACATTCCTAAAGAAAAGGTAACAAATTATCTGTTACAAGTACTTTGCAGAAATGCGATAAAAAGAAAAATAATTATTAAACTAATATTAAACTTTTTTGCTTTTGTTAACTCTTCATTTGCAGGCTGTGGAAGTTGTGGAAGTCAGCATTGACCAGATGAACCGGCTTACCAAGGAGTTAAAGCGGCTTTTCTTAGTGGAGGATATTGTTGACTCCATCAAGGTAAAGTGTGTGGATTCGATCATGTAACCTTTTTATTTACAGTTGACTCCCGCTAACTCGAACCTCGCACTAACTCGAGCCAAAGTCGATTTCCCCTGGATTTCCTTCTTACATTTACTGTAATTTTACCCTCGGTAACTCGAACCCTCGATAACTCGAACCTCCCGTTAACTCGAAATAATTTTTGTTCCCCTTCAGCTCATTTCTATACAATTTTACTCTCGATAACTCAAACCATGTTATAAGCACGTGACAAGTCGAGAAAAAAAAACGTGTGCTGAAGCCTGAAACATTTAATTTATTTCAGAACAACCGAGTAAATTCTTTGTCTTTACTTTTTTATCACTCCAGTTCAAGTTCTGTGTCCATTCCTGTATACTTTGTTGCTTAATTGCCTTAATTTCCTTCCCATCGATTTGCTTATTTCCTTACTTCTGGTCATTTCCTTCAAACTCTTGATAACTCAAACTTTTTTCAATTTCCCTTGAAGGTTCGAGTTAGTGGGAGTCGATGGCAGTAGTTTATTTTGCAAAGCAGCAAGCAAAAAAATTTCTGCCTTTCAGTGGGATTCACACTTGTGACCTCTGGCTGATAAGTTTCCATACCATAGAATTCTGAAAATAAGTTTCACTAGCTTGTATTTAGAGGGGCGTCATTATTGAAGGGGAATGTGCATGTCACATATGGCTGTACTTATAACTGGAGGGAAACTTATGTCCAGATTTACTTAAGATAGTTTTGGGGCATTGACTTCAAACAGAATAGCAAAAATCTTCAAATGAANCAAGTACTTTGCAGAAATGCGATAAAAAGAAAAATAATTATTAAACTAATATTAAACTTTTTTGCTTTTGTTAACTCTTCATTTGCAGGCTGTGGAAGTTGTGGAAGTCAGCATTGACCAGATGAACCGGCTTACCAAGGAGTTAAAGCGGCTTTTCTTAGTGGAGGATATTGTTGACTCCATCAAGGTAAAGTGTGTGGATTCGATCATGTAACCTTTTTATTTACAGTTGACTCCCGCTAACTCGAACCTCGCACTAACTCGAGCCAAAGTCGATTTCCCCTGGATTTCCTTCTTACATTTACTGTAATTTTACCCTCGGTAACTCGAACCCTCGATAACTCGAACCTCCCGTTAACTCGAAATAATTTTTGTTCCCCTTCAGCTCATTTCTATACAATTTTACTCTCGATAACTCAAACCATGTTATAAGCACGTGACAAGTCGAGAAAAAAAAACGTGTGCTGAAGCCTGAAACATTTAATTTATTTCAGAACAACCGAGTAAATTCTTTGTCTTTACTTTTTTATCACTCCAGTTCAAGTTCTGTGTCCATTCCTGTATACTTTGTTGCTTAATTGCCTTAATTTCCTTCCCATCGATTTGCTTATTTCCTTACTTCTGGTCATTTCCTTCAAACTCTTGATAACTCAAACTTTTTTCAATTTCCCTTGAAGGTTCGAGTTAGTGGGAGTCGATGGCAGTAGTTTATTTTGCAAAGCAGCAAGCAAAAAAATTTCTGCCTTTCAGTGGGATTCACACTTGTGACCTCTGGCTGATAAGTTTCCATACCATAGAATTCTGAAAATAAGTTTCACTAGCTTGTATTTAGAGGGGCGTCATTATTGAAGGGGAATGTGCATGTCACATATGGCTGTACTTATAACTGGAGGGAAACTTATGTCCAGATTTACTTAAGATAGTTTTGGGGCATTGACTTCAAACAGAATAGCAAAAATCTTCAAATGAACAAGCCCTAGGATTTCACAGTAACGATCGTTTGTGGTACTGTGTCATTTACCTGGTCTTTAAAAAAACGGAACTGAAAAATAGTTTCCCAGTGACATTTTCAGCCTTAGGGATCAATTTACAGAATCCACACAGTCTTGACTAGCAGAGCAATTCTTAGTTATGACTTGGGTTATATACGAAAGTCAACGTTGATTAGCATCTATCATCTTTCTGTTGTTTGCCATCTTGAATCATTTCCGAAGTGCATTGAACATTACTGGTTTATGGCTTCCAGGGCCAAGAAAAAAATATGATGTCCAAAAGTTGGAAACATTTAAGAGGTGGGTTCCCTTGAATTTGCTCTGAGCCAAAAACTTGTTACAGATGGTTTCCCATGATCTCTGGGTACGAAGACGAAAAATTGTTTTCCTTGGGAAATGAAATCCTAGGGCATGAATGAACTTACATTTACTAGTCAGCACAAGGCTAACCAACAGTGGTGTCTGCAACACCATGGAGCATCCCAATTACATAGTACACTTTATGATCCTATATAACTACGCTGTTACAGTGTAGTTAGTGTAGTTCATAGTTATGGAAACTGAACAAGGCAAAACTCATTTCTGGGCTTGCCTTGTACGACTTTCTTATTTTTTTTCTCTGTGAGGGCGATTCCAATTTTGGGGGGCTTATATACATGTATGTTAGAGACTTTTTAGGAGGTGTTGAATTTTTGGGCATATATTCAGGTGTCCAAAGGCGCCTATTTACAGAATTTCACAATAACTTGTTTTGTTAGATGATCGTACCAGTATTGTATTGTCAATGTTGTTTGAGCCCCTTCAAAATCCTTTTTTTACCAGGCTTGCATTCATTGTTTAAGTTAGGCGTCTGATGCATTAGAGAGATTAAGATTTACGTTTACGGCATACGGCAAACGGCAAACGTCAGTTGAGAATTTCTCAGAATAGAAAATAAGCAGATAAAAACAGTCCAGAACGATTCTTGTGGCCAAAACTGGCATTAAATATGTCACATATGGCTGTACTTATAACTGGAGGGAAACTTATGTCCAGATTTACTTAAGATAGTTTTGGGGCATTGACTTCAAACAGAATAGCAAAAATCTTCAAATGAACAAGCCCTAGGATTTCACAGTAGCGATCGTTTGTGGTACTGTGTCATTTACCTGGTCTTAAAAAAAACGGAACTGAAAAATAGTTTCCCAGTGACATTTTCAGCCTTAGGGATCAATTTACGGAATCCGCACAATCTTGACTAGCAGAGCAGTTCTTAGTTATGACTTGGGTTATGTACGAAAGTCAACGTTGACTAGCATCTATCATCTTTCTGTTGCTTGCCATCTTGAATCATTTCCGAAGTGCATTGAACATTACTGGTTTATGGCTTCCAGGGCCAAGAAAAAAATATGATGTCCAAAAGTTGAAAACATTTAAGAGGTGGGTTCCCTTGAAGTTTCTCTGAGCCAAAAAATTGTTATGGATGGTTTCCCATGATCTCTGGGTACGGAGACAAAAAATTGTTTTCCTTGGGAAATGAAATACTAGGGCATGAATGAACTTACATGTACTAGTCAGCACAAGGCTAACCAACAGTGGTATCTGCAACACCATGGAGCATCCCAATTACATAGTACACTGTATGATCCTATATAACTACACTGTTACAGTGTAGTTAGTGTAGTTCATAGTTATAGAAACCGAACAAGGCAAAACTCATTTCTGGGCTTGCCTTGTACAACTTTCTTACCGTTTTCTCTGTGCGGGCGATTCCAATTTTGGGGGGCTTATATACATGTATGTTAGAGACTTTTTATTTTCAGGTGTCCAAAGGCGCCTATTTACAGAATTTCACAATAACTTGTTTTGTTAGATAATCATGCATACCAGTAATGTATTGTCAATGTTGTTTGAGCCCCTTCAAAATCCTTCTTTTACCAGGCTTGCATTCATTGTTTAAGTTAGGTATCTTATGCATTCTTTCAAAACTCACGCTGGATTCTGAAAGTTCACTACTGCTTCTTTCTTTCAGTTTGGACTTCTCTTGTGGGTTCTGTCATATATTGGTGCCTGGTTTAATGCACTTACCCTCATTATCATTGGTGAGTATTATTATGAAGAAACCTTTGCAAAGCAAATGCCTCTTTTTCAATTTTGTTCTTGCCACTACCGCTTGTAAGTAGAGTAAACAGTTTTAACTTCTTGTTTGGTTGTGTGTGGTTCTTTTTTAGATTTTATTCTCCTGTTTTCTCTGCCTCGCTTGTATGAGGATCATCAGGTATGTCAAATTAAACACTTAAGAGGTTGGCAAAGTTGTATTTTTGACTACTTCAGACCATTTAAAGTTAAGCTAGAAGACTGTTTATATTGTGTTATTTGTGAATGCTTGTATACATAATTTATGAAAGACAAAAAACAAATTCGGTCAGATGGACTGAACTGAGATTTTAAACAGAACAAAGAAGGTAAAAAGGTCTAATGCTCTACAGGCTTTTCAAGCGCTTGTTACACACATCATATCGTTATGCTTGTAAACCGATTTCATACATTGATTTGTATGAAATTGCCCACCCCAGTCCAGATCTTGTTTTATTGTGGTGCCTGTTGGACAAACTGTGGAGATCTCATTCAGGAGAAAGGTTAAGGGATTGTGTGATTAATTAAATGTTTTTTTTTATTCACAGGAAAAAGTTGATGAATATATGGCAATTGCTCGTACGCAAATCTGTTCCGTGATTGAACAGTAAGTCATTCAGTTGCAGTTAAACCTGTTTTTCTGCAAATTTTCAGTAACATAATAGTCAGCAGAGCTGCAAGTGACAAGCGGATCATTAGACTCAGTCAGACTGAAATTTGTTTATCGTAAGGCAAACTCCAAAGTACTGTTAGACAAAAACATGAACCGGAAGATTTGCAATTGACTAAAAGGAATTAAAATTCAGTTTAACTTGTTCTTGAAACTTTTCAGTTTGTCAGATTAAAAAGGGTAATTTGGTCAGACACGTCCTTTCTAGGAAGAGAAATTATTTGCAGCCTTGGACGAGTCACTCTTTACGTAGAGTGTAGTGATCACCTATTGTCAAGGCTTGTGGAGGTGCAAGGACTGAGAAGTCTGGGTTGGAGACTTGTGGTCACGTTCTTTCCTTAGACAATTAATTGCTGCAATTTATCTCTCTCTTCATGCGTCCCAGCTGTTTATCTATAAAGCGGTACTGGCACCATGTTGTCAGTGGTAACCCTATGATGGAATAGCATGCCATCCAGGAAAAATAGCAATACTCTTGGTACTTAATGTTTTAAAGAAACGAGGGATGAAAACCAGCCAGCTTCATGGCTTGTGTTTGCCTTTAACTTTTGTAAGAATCCCCTATATTACCTAGTTGCTGTCCATTTCCTCAAGGCCATCCTCTAAGACAGTCTAAACTGTTAGTATGGTGTGTGACTGGATAAGCACAGTTGAAGAACAACCTTGAATTCTGTGTTCTTGAATAGTTAACATTGGAAGAGGACTGTTACTAAACTCCATATATCTCTTGACTTCTCTGTAGGGCTAAATCCAAGCTACCAGCCAAGTTACAGAAGCAGAAGACGTCATAAACTTGCACTCTTCATGCCAAAGGATCCTACTCCCACAAATGTGTTGATTTGGAAGTTTACCTATTCAAAACTGTTTGTTTATATTCAAGTGGCTTTGCTCGACCTTTGGCTGGTGGAAAAACTTGGAGATCATTGATAAATTAATAAGGAATAATTATTTGACAAGTTTTTACTCTGGCACTGTAAAGTCAGTGGTTTTGTTTGTCTGGAAATGGGTTTAGACTGAGCGCTTGTTGTTACCGATGACTGAAACCTGACAACGTGATAGTCAGATTAGCTCATTCACGCTCGTTCATACCCACCCCTCCTCCCCATTCCTTCTTTCTTTTAACTGTCCTGTTGGTGTAAATCTTTCATGGGTCGATGAGGGACTGACCACATAAAGATAGAAAAAGGAGGAAGAAGGAAGCTATTTTGGCTTACCAAAGATTTTCTCACTTTGAAAGTCTTCTGTGAGCTTTGGTTGACATCTAACAGAAGGCTAAAAGTTTTCTTTTGGACTTCAATGATATTCTGAATTCCAATCCCAGGAATGCTAGGGGTCGGCCAACCATTTGACTTTTGAGTGGGGGGGATATATGGGTGATTTCAGAAAAAAATATCATGCAGACTGATTTTGAGGGGAAAAATCTTGCAAGGGAATACCTGGGGAGAAAATTCCTACAGTGAAAAAAGTCTCTCATAGTGTATAATGCTGGAAGAAAAAATCTTACACCGTTGTGTGCCGGGGAAAAAACTTCTATCTTCAGAGGTTTAGGAAAAAAATTCTCACCAAAACCATGTCTCTGACACACCCCACCCCCACCCCCCCTCAAAAGTTAAATGGTCGGCCCTTTGGAGGGTCTAAATGGCGGTGCTAGAGTCTGAGTTTACCAGCTAGATAAAAAATTATATGATCAGTTTATTTAACAAAACTCTTAGGTATGTGTTAATAAAGCTGTGAATTCTTAGCGTACAATGAAGACCTGGACCAGTGTTCTCACTTAAACCCTATTCAGAGCTCTGTTTTAGTGTAGGCGTACGCCTTGCGACACGTGATGCGAGCGTATTTTACATGTCTTTTTAAAGTGCATAGCCCTCTTAGATTAGTGATCTTCCTTGAACTCAAGAGTTACTCATTTCGTGTATCTGCTGGGCGAGCACGACTTGGAGCAACCTGCTTGCAAGAGAATGCTATGTTACTTTGCAGTCCTGCGTCAAAGATTTTGCGCCGTTGTGTGTGCAAAATTGTAAGCTGGTTTTCACAGGACTCTGCTAGGGTTGTAGTAGGGAATACTTGTATTTTATGGTATTTAACTGATGTTGGTTCTGAAGATGTCTCAAAAACCAGACAATGGGAAAAATACAAATGAAAAACTATTCACTCCTGCAAAATAATACTTATTTACACAAATATATATGGATTCGTGGGAAAGTATGAACAAAAACTGCCACAAACGCTTAGGAAAACAATCCAGTTTTGCTGTTTTCAAATAGACTTTATCTAAACGCTCACCACAAATTGCGTTGAGAGCGTGCCACTCTTTCATGTGTTGTTTTAAACGGGAAGTGTGACTCTTACTTGTTTACACAACACCTATGGAGGTGAACTACGATAATCAGGTGTTATCTGTAAACAATAGGGTGTTGAAGGTTGTGGGGATTATCTTGCCTCTAATATGCTGCTTCATCCACCGATTTTATGTAGAAGAAGGATTAAGTGAAGAGAATTATCAAAGTTATAAGCCATGTTTTCTTGGTTGTCATTTCGTGACGTTGCAAATTTGGTGCTAGGATGGGTGGATATCGGCATGCCGATTCAGGTTTCACGTTATCCCTTATGAGATTGATTTGAAATATTATTATTATTCGGGGCACTAGAAAGCGTTTCATCCAAACCTGATTATATCCCATTGACAATCTGAGCGTCTCTTTGTAGAGTTGATAGTATTGACTTGCTGTAATGCAAACAGTCAAGGGCAAATCCAGGATTTTGATTGTAAGGGTCGTCATCTTGGATACAAGAAGCGGTATATATAGTTGACGCCCTTGTAATTATCCCCTTTCTCGATCCATATATTCACCCCTTTGTACGTTTGCCTTGGCTGGCTGTACAAACAGAACAAGTGGGATTTTACCTGATGTCTCTCACATATTTCGAACAGAGGTTGCACTGTACGTTTTAAACAATGTTCCTGTTAGTGTTATCACACCAGTAGAGTCCAGTATGTAGATATAAATATAAGGATTGCTCTTGAAGTAACTTTATGCCAAGTATATACAGCTGTAGTACATTAGCTGATGCAGAGGATTGATTTCTCTTGTAGGAGGACTCTTGATTTTTTTGCATTACCCTTGGCACTTGCATCATATTTGGCTTGTAATTAATTGTACGGCTCAAATAAAAATGTAGAATGTTGGCGTTTGGGAAAATTTTGTTGTTTAAAAAGTTAATTTGTCCATCCAATTAGAACTTCACAAATGTGACTCCNGGTGTTATCTGTAAACAATAGGGTGTTGAAGGTTGTGGGGATTATCTTGCCTCTAATATGCTGCTTCATCCACCGATTTTATGTAGAAGAAGGATTAAGTGAAGAGAATTATCAAAGTTATAAGCCATGTTTTCTTGGTTGTCATTTCGTGACGTTGCAAATTTGGTGCTAGGATGGGTGGATATCGGCATGCCGATTCAGGTTTCACGTTATCCCTTATGAGATTGATTTGAAATATTATTATTATTCGGGGCACTAGAAAGCGTTTCATCCAAACCTGATTATATCCCATTGACAATCTGAGCGTCTCTTTGTAGAGTTGATAGTATTGACTTGCTGTAATGCAAACAGTCAAGGGCAAATCCAGGATTTTGATTGTAAGGGTCGTCATCTTGGATACAAGAAGCGGTATATATAGTTGACGCCCTTGTAATTATCCCCTTTCTCGATCCATATATTCACCCCTTTGTACGTTTGCCTTGGCTGGCTGTACAAACAGAACAAGTGGGATTTTACCTGATGTCTCTCACATATTTCGAACAGAGGTTGCACTGTACGTTTTAAACAATGTTCCTGTTAGTGTTATCACACCAGTAGAGTCCAGTATGTAGATATAAATATAAGGATTGCTCTTGAAGTAACTTTAAGCCAAGTATATACAGCTGTAGTACATTAGCTGATGCAGAGGATTGATTTCTCTTGTAGGAGGACTCTTGATTTTTTTGCATTACCCTTGGCACTTGCATCATATTTGGCTTGTAATTAATTGTACGGCTCAAATAAAAATGTAGAATGTTGGCGTTTGGGAAAATTTTGTTGTTTAAAAAGTTAATTTGTCCATCCAATTAGAACTTCACAAATGTGACTCCTACTCTCCACTTTCTATATTTCCCATAAGGCACTTTGCTTCGGTAATGTGGGAGCTGCTCGTAATGTCTTTCCTGATTCTGCCTTGAACCCAGACTTCTCCCTCTCGATGAAAATGTGCGCGCAAAGGAAGGCGGGAAGGAAACAACGGGTGAGACGGCGCTTCGCCTGCCGTCTGTACCCTTCCCATGGTCCCTTGCGGTTTATCACCAGCCACTCGCGTTTCGCGCTCGCCTCTACTATGAGAAAAACGAAGCGCCTGAGGAGGAGGTCTTTCCTGATTCGTTCTTTTTAACAATGGTAATCCCTTGTTTTCAATTTTTGGGTGAGGCTCCTCACGAGGCCAATATTCAGCCATCTTGAGCAAAAAACTTGGTCAACGAATAACAAATGCCAAATTCGAAATGACGATAAACTGACTTCGTGAGTTTGTGACTCGGTGGGAGAAGGGAAGGCTCAGCACTGAGGTCCAATTCCTTGCCCTTTTATACACCATTTTTACAGAAAAGGTACTCGGATTTCTTTTGCCTGTATGAACCTTAATTTGACAAATGGTACACCTTTCAGATACCCAGTTTAAAAGAACGCTGCATCCCTTTTAACATGTTTTAACTGCTGCAAATGCACTTTGGTTTAAATATTATGAACTAATTCATCACTGCACCTTAAAACTTTCTTGACTTTTGCACATCCTGTTAGCCCTATATAGCTAGCTAGGTCATGACAGATTCACCCTATCCTTGTATATACTTCAATAAGGCTCGTAAGTAAATCTCTACCCTTTTACATACCTGATAAGGAGCCCATCATGGGCTCTTGACCTGAAGCCTGAAAAGGTATCCCTTTCAACTCCACCGGTTTAGACCATTGTGAGGGAGTACCCCCTTTCCGGTGGTTGCGACCTCTCCCACACATTACCAGTGGTCCGAGTAACTAGAAGAGCGGCACGATGGGCACGAGTATCCGAGGGACAAGAATTAAACTAGTCTGTCTTCGCTACGAGTGATGTTTTTGTAGATTAGGTCCATGAAACTTCAAGTTTCTTAAGTCATTAGCTTCCCGAGCATTATTCTTTCATTTTTCCGTTGTAAAAAGCGAGAGTATCGCAGTCACTTCCGGCTCTTTTGACGGACCCCCTACGAGAAGCCTCACATTGCATCTATCGAAGCAGTACAACGCAGCGCCTGAGGTTCGTCACTGGGGATTATTCGAGATACAGCAGCGTAACACAAATGAGAGAGGCCCTTGGATGGGAGACACTTGAGTGCAGGAGACATCTGGCTGCTGCAACTACCTTTTACAAGTCAATCAACAACCTCATCTACCTCCCCATCCCTAGCTCCGTCCGACCCGCTGATCCTCGCACGCGCTCAAAACACCCCTTCCGGCACATCGCCACCAACACCAATGCTTACAAGTACTCCTTCTTCCCTCGCACAATCCCTTTATGGAACAATCTGCCTAGCTACTACTGCCGTCACTGCTACCAGTCCTGAAGCCCTCGAAGTATACGCCCTGCCTATCATGAGAACCTTCTGCCACCCTAATTGACCCATGAAACCTTATTTTTTAATATTACATTATATTTATTTTTGTTTTTTTCTAGTATCTTTTGGATTATAATATGTGCGTACATTAGGCAGTTGTGAATTTGTAAGTGTGCGGTCCGATATCCTGTAAAATGTATTTTAATTGACATTCTTCTTTTAGCATCCTGTATAGTTGTAACACTACGGGGATTAAAATGTAAGTAAGTAAGTAAGGGGCACCCAATGGAACTGTTCCTCAAAATATCTGTTCTTCAGGCAAATTTTTGTTGGCTGGGAGATTTGGAAAAAATAATATGTCCTTGGAAGGAAAGTGTTGCTGGGAAATAGGCAATTCAGTGTGTCTGAGGAGATTTGGTGTCTAAAATAGCTGGTATGTGCTATTTGTTTGAAGGGGTGAATTTCGCCCTTAGACCACACCCAAAATCCTATGGATCCCCCTCTGAAGGGCTGGATTTTGCGCTGCGACCACACCCAAACTGGCCAGTAATGTCTGGACAGCACGTCTGCTGTTTTCACCGGTGAAGCGGTCATTATATCACAGCTACTAGAAGACATAGAACAGTAAGAAACACAAAAGAACATAAGCCTCTCGTGAAAGAGCATTTAGTTTATTTCTCTGGGAAAAGTTACAGAGACGTCGACTAGCAGGCAACATTATCCAAACAAAAACGAAGCATGGGCAGTTACAAAAAAAGGCTTCTACATCAATGCAATTTCAGCAAAATTAAAATGAGGTTGGAAAACACTATGGCCAGCTGTATATGTACCCCCCATTTCAAGGTCTCTTCGGTTAGACCGGCCAGAGTTTATCCACGAAATGATCAGATGACACCAGTAAGCCGAAGTAACAGAAAAATGCCACTACAAAGTTTCCTTGTCTGAGTATTCGTCGGACCAACAGCAACTAATTAACCCCGCCCTACTAAAAAAAAAAAGAGCATTAACGATAGTGATAGTACATCTTCTTCTAAAGGCCTAGAGTAGTATTTTAACTCAATTGACGAGTTACAATCTACACTTGATTTGATCACTTCACAATGACTGGACGCTTGAGCTTTTTTCCCTAGGGTGGCATGCTTCAATAGCCTAGCATTTATGGCTATTTATAAGATCAGGGCAAGCGTCATTTATAGGCTAGCATCAGCACAGGTAACAACCGCGTAACTTCCTGAAATCTGCTCAAATTTCCCCTCCATAAAATAAAATACATATATGGAAAGAGAATTTAAGCAGATCTCACGAAAAATAGCTATTTCGCAGAAATTGTATAATAAGAGGGGATTCGTGTCGTGGTACTATCACCAAGTCTGGGTACCATGTGGTATCAGGACTCGTAATAAGAGGTTTGTTTTTTTCTGTTCGATGAGACATACATATCAACTCGTCGACCTACGGAGGCCGAAGCCACCTTATAAACAGATAGTCACCATAACACTTGAGTGAGGCAGGAAACCGCGCATGAAAAGTCTTTCCTGGCACCCAGGCAGTCCCGGAGTATCCAAGTCTTGTAGCTTGTCAATCAAGTCTGTCGAGCAGGAATTATAAATTTAGGGGAACGTCATGATTCAAAAATGGTCCACTCTTAAAATATTATTTTCTTGTTCTGTGCTAACTACATCCTTGGAGACCCAGGGGCAGATAATGGATGGGAGGGATAGTCGCGCCATTTAATTTTTTCCCGCCCATTTAGACTTTCCCTCGCCCCCACTATCTGCCCCTGGGTCTCCAAGGATGTGCTAAGTAGTCCTGACTTAAAGTATCTTGAATATTAAAAACACCATAAGCGCGAGTACATATGGGTTACATATGAGAACATAAGGGTTAAAATTCCACTTGAAAATCCTTCAATAAGAATGACCGAGACCAGGTTTTATGAGCCCGCGAGGCTGAGCAACCCACCTGAACCCTTGTTTTCACTAAAACCGCTGGACGCCACAACCTGGTTTAGGTCATTGTTATCTAAGGTCTTCCAAAATTCTCATACATGTACTAGTAACACAAACAGACATAACTGACAGACAAAATCTACCCTTAATTGCTGTGGAGAGCGAGAAAATATCGGATTTAAAAACACCCCCTCAAAGGAACGAGAATATCGTTTTGTGGGCGGTGGGGGCTCTGATTCCCTTTTATTTTAACCAAGAGAGAATGATCCGTCGTGTTGTTTTAACTAGTTTCTGACACCCTTTGATAGCGATTTATTAGACTTTCAAAAGAAATAAATGATTCCAAATGCAAGCTGTTAGATGCATCGATCGGTGTATGCCCTTGGTGTGGAAACAATCGTCAACGGAGGCGGGCCATTTTATACTCTGCGAGCAGAGGCCCTTCGATCTTCCTAGATAAGTCGGGACTTATCTAGGAAGATCGAAAGGCCTCTGCTCGCAGGGTAGCCATTTTAGAGCTAGTCTGCTCTCTATAAAGCCTTGCTAATATCGATCCGCAATTTTACAACGAACACCCACGCCTTTTTAGTAAGTGACCCGCGATAAAAAAAGTCTCTTATCTTCAAGGATCAAAATTTCCGTGTGCGTCAAATCAGTTGAGCCAAACAATTACTGAACATCCCCGGCACCTGTCACAAACTTAAGTGAAAGAGTTAGTCACGTGGCGAGGGACCACTCAGCTGATTTTATTATTTAAATACTTAAGTACAATACAGCCTACAGTTTGCTTAGTATAAAATAAATAATGAGCTCCTTCCGGGTTCTCTTTTAGAATACATAGATCTTCACACAGATTGCCTCAATATGATATATCTCCCAAGTTGAACGTGGGGAGCGGGGAGGGGAGTTTGAATATATAAAATACTGAAAACCAGAACGTTTTCTCAACATTTCACAGCCATGAAATGCGCATCTTGTAGCCCTTTTGGGACTTTATTACAGAGTGAAATGATTTTCCTACCGTTTCATATACGTCAACTAATGAAATGCCGAACCTTCCATATACCTGACACCTGAAAAAGGTACCCCTTTCGGGCAGAGCCTCCGCGTATATTCCATTATAGAGAGTTCCAACGCGGGCATGAACCGGCCACAATTTAGGGAAAGGGCCATTTATTGTAATGAGTTCAGCACAACACAATGCACATTTGACCAAGCTGATCAACATCTGCCTGGCTTGTATAGCCCCGTATAGCCTGTATATATCAAACATTTCAGAAGTCCTAGCGTTCTTCGATCGAAAACTATCAAAGTTATTAGATTCTCATTTGATTTGCGGCTAAGTTTAATGTAATTAATCGGAGCAGGTCTTATCACCTTGCGCAAGGTCTATTTTGGAATCCTCCAAAAGTAGCTTTTTAGATAATTATTCATTGATTTTTCTCATTTTATTCAGAGGAGGTTTATTAAAATATAATGGAACGTGTTTTATGTGTAAACGTAAATGCACATATTAATAGACATAGATGGTAGTTTTTTAACACCCTCACCCCCCCCCCCCCCCTCATTTTTCTTTTTTTCCTTACTTGTGCATAATCCCTGGCATGCTTCTGTTTTGTGTCTCGGTGTGGGTGGGAGGGGAGCGTCGTGGAGTAGCGTGGTGATTTTTTTTTTTGAATTCACAAAAACTACCTTTTTACATAATTTTTCATTTATTTTTTTTTTTTTATTCAGGGGAGGTTTTTTAAAATATAATGGAAGTTTTTTTTTTTTTAAACGTAAATGCACAATTTAAAAGAAAAAGATGGTAGTTTTTTAACCCCCCCCCCCCCCCCGAGTATTGTTCCATTTTGAGAGCAATTCTGACGTAAATGGTTCGGTTAATGATGCTTGTGGTGACGTCATCAAGAGAGACAAGCAAACCTGCGTCATAAGTTAATTGTTTTAACCTAACGTCCTTTGTCACGGTTTCTGTTAGACGCTACACCCTTCGCAAGAATGACTGAAATACTGAAATCATAAATTTACTGTTTTTATTTCGGCAGAAGAAATTGTGTGCAGGTTAGATTCGAAAAGGGAGTGATCATATATCACGCTACGCACGCTGCACGTGTTCCCACTGCACGTGGAAAATTTATAGTTGACAAAATAAATAGTCAGATTGTTGATTTTTGCGAAGGTAGTTTTTTCCTTTTTGCCAATATTTAATCTCTTCATGTCATTATTTTTCGTCAGAGTGAGTGGAACAAATAAAAAATCCGGAAGTTAATGGCACCGGAAACACGTTTCATGATTTTCGAGCATTTCACTTTTTTGCCGGGCAATATGCACCTGTCACGTGACAATGTTGTCGCCCATATTGTCCGCGAAATATTTTAAGTCAGCGACAGTAGCAACTCTTTGGCCAGCGAAATTTGTCGCCTTTTTACGTTGATTGTGATTGATGTGAACAGAAAGTCCTTTCATGGTTTGTATGTAGAAGAACGATGACTGAGGACGGTCCACGTCGGTCAAGAGGAATAACTTTGCAGTGCGGTCTGGCTCGCGAGACCTACGGTTTTGAAGGGAAAGATCTTAACGCTCTGAAGGAACTGGCATGTTCGTTCCTCGACCAAAAGGTACAAATCGCTAACATGTACTTAGACCAGGTGCTCTCGGTGCCGTGAAATTGTCACTGATTTGAAAATCTCAATCTTATCTTCGTGGTTGGGGTCTCTCGTGGTGTGAGTCTGTCATTTGGAAACGACAATTTGACTGACGATTTGATCTGATCAATCGGCGTTGCATGTTTTTCAAACGTTATTTTTCATTGAGCTTATCTAACCGCCGTTCTTTATATTCAACACCATCCCTTTAAAATTCCCCTGACCGCGAGGGTTATATTTTTTGTTTTAGTTTATTTAACGGATTGTATAGGCATAAGCTTTAAATGACAGCTCGTGTAGGCCACTCTCAGTAAATCATTTTGTATTTATTTGTTATCATCTTAAGGTTGTATGCTACACAATCTTTACCCTACTTCGCGGGCAAGATATCTCAACTCAACCAAACCAGTTCGTGTGGCTGCGAAAGAAGCAACAGGCGGCTATAACATACAAACAATGTCATATATATATTTTCAGTTCATTCAACTAAGGGTACCCAAGCAAGACTTGAGCTTACCATATTGGCAACCAATTTTGCCCGGCAAATTTTTTTTCGAAAACGTGTCCCTTAACGAAGAAGAATGGATCTAGAAATATAATTTACGTCGCTGTCAAGAGTACAAAATCTGCCATTTAAAAACCCATATTGTATATTAAATGTGAGGTGATTGATCTACAATCGAGGCATTAGTTTCGAATGTTGTCAAGATCTTAGATCGTAACGACGCCCAAGCAAGTATCAGTTGTAAAATTGCGTTTGAATATGTAGTTTATTGCCGATTTTTCATGTACATTCCACAGAAGTCGTATTATTGATATTGTCCGACGTTTTTTGCTGGGGAAAAATTTGGAAATGCAGAAGAAAGATAAAAAATCGAGCATCGAGGCAGATATTGCTTTTCGTACTAATTCGAACTTCCTGTTGTAAGAAGGGGCCATTCGGGTGAATATAGATTAGAACAAACCTACTGCATACTGTTCGAAAAATATTTTCTTATTTTCTAATGGATTCGATGCTTAAGGCTATTATAATAAACTCGGGTTATACATTTGTGTTCTCCTAAAAAATGTACAGCGAACGAGTTTTGCTTACTTACTTGTAGCTTCAACTTTAAAATGATGACATGTGCCTTGTGAATGAAGCGTCATGCATATAAAACACGCGATAACGAAAATTAGCTTGCAGCATGTTAAGAATGCATATTTTAGCCTCATCTTAAAAAAATATTGACCAATTTATTTGAATTATCAGTGATTATTTTTTTTATCTTAATTTCTCGCTTACAGTAATGTTCCAAAAGTAATGTTTAAGGGGCAAAGAAGTAAACCAGATGCTAAAATGATGATCAAAATTAGTTAATTTGCGTGATGGTTTAGTGAAAATTAAAGTTTTCACTTTCTCAAAACAGCTGTTTAAATTGAATTTGTTAAATGGTTATTAAGAAGAGCTATATAGTTTATTTGTAAAATTTAACAATTTGTGTTTTTTCCTATTTGTCCATTGCATTGCTACCCACAGTTCTGCCAAATCTGTAGTCAACATGTTTGATAACAGACAAATAAAATATTAATAAGTGGCTAGTATTGTAGTCTATGCTTATCATTTAAGTTATAAGAAAATACCAGATGATGCTGGATATAAGATGTCTGTAAAATGTTTTCTTTAATTCACTTGGTACAATGTATCTTAGGCTGTTCCCAGAGAAAATGACTTTGGCCAGTGTCCCGCTGATGCTTCATAAAGCTTGATGACAGGTTTTTTTGGGCATCAGCTTACATTTATATTAGAAACCATTAAAACACAGATAATGTTATAGCATGATTTGTTGCTGTCTTGAGCAACAAATTTCTGAGCTGCATTTTTAACAACGAGTTCTGAGCAGTTGTTTGCAACATAAGTGATAGACCTACGTTGGGTATTTTCCTGCAAAATTAGTTCATGCTCCTGACATCAAGCATTATGCCTCCTGGCATATATTACCCATGATACAGAGCTCTTAAGTCTCACTCATTAAACATTAAACTCATGCAAACCAATCCAATCTTACACTCTCACGCTGATTCAGCCAAATGTTTATTTCTCATGTATTTGAGGTCTCTGAATTGAGAAGTTGATTTTTGGTTAGAAGATTGCTGCTTTAGTTGGGTAGGTAAATAATTTTCAGTCTTCCAGGCTATAATAATTATTTTACTCCTTGTTTTCTGTTTCACACCAATCAGTCAGTTTTATATTGTACATGCTCCTGCTCTTAGTGACAGCATGTACATGTACAGCAAAAAGGTTTGGTGTGATAACATGTTAATATCATTTCTGGATAATTCAAACTGTTACAAAAGTGTTGATATTTGTTGTCTTATAGTAAAACCTGAGATCTAAATACTTTCTTGAAGGCAGCACATTTCCACTCAGAATAAAGGAAAACACGTATTAGCTATTTCAGTCCTCCGAAATTTTCTGAGGATGCGTGCCCCTCAGACCCCCAAGGATGGTGACGACTGCAAAAAAACTCACTCTTTGCCAACAAATTAACCCTTTAAACCCTAACATCAAAATTCAAATTCTCATTGGTTATCCCTATACGTTTTCAATAGAAGTAGTGGGGAGAATTTGTTGAAGTATCAATTAGATTCATCTTGTGTGATCATGTCCGTAATTCTCATGACCACTCTGTTTTACAAAGCATTGATATTACAAGGAGAAATTTGATGCTGATCACTCTTAGGGCTTAAAGGGTTAACGTGAGAGCTCTGCATGATACCAGGGCATTATGCTGAAAATTATGCTTGGCTGGAGACTGTCATTAATGATTTAATGCCTGTTATTATGCTGGAACAAAACGACACCCTTCCACCTCGCCCTCTGCTGATAGGTTTTTTTTACAATGCTTTTGGTTCCCAACTGATGCTTCATTTTTTCCGCTATAATGTTCAGTATTGCTTATCATATACATGTACAGAGGCTTTTTTAATGTTCATTCTAAACAACAAAGTATCCGAGTTAATGTTTTTCATAGACCAAAAGATAATGGTCTAAACAGCTTTATAAGGGTGACATTTGAGTTTTGTTTTAGATTTTGACATTAAGTGCTCATTTTCTCATCAAAAAATGTTTTCAAATTCATTTCCTCTCAAAAAAAACAAAAAAACAATCTTTTTGGAAAAATTCCACTCAAAATAAATGCTGGAATAATGCATGATTCTATGGTTCACTAAAATGCTCGAAGAATTGCGAGCATAATGTGCAAAAGCCTATCCTGTGTCCTACACAATCTTTCACTTACTTTCCAAAGAAAATGTCTGGGAAGCCTAGCCATTGAGATAACTGTGCCATGTATTTGTCGCCAAAATGTATTGCACACAAGTGACTAAAGATCTTCAAAGGTATTCAGTTCCTAAAATGTCTGTGCTTTTATTAACATTGTACATTCTCGCTGGTATTGGCTGAAACAAGTTATTGAGTTATTGACTCCTTTTCCATGAATTTAACTATTATTTGGGATGAAGAATATTTAACTATTATTCTTTAAAATCAAGGTGAATAGTGGCAGAATATTTAGTAACCTTTGAAGCGGTAAGGTAAATATTACTAAGGCCACCATTCTATTTTTTGTTGTTTCTCGCAAATGCTGTCAATGATGGCTATGATTGAGGAGAGCGTTGTTTATCTGTAGTGTTTTTTTGCATTGTTTACTTGCTGGCATGTACAATTTTGGAAAAAATATTAGCTAGCTTTCCTTGTTTTCTTCATAAATTAACTTCCCTTTCTAGGCAAAATTCGTCTTGCAAGGAAATCCTGAGTTCACAAAATGGTGACTTAAATATTATTAATGTCCTCGCTCTTCTGTTTAGCGATAAAAGTTGTTTCGAGCGTGTAAAAAGTCAGCTATAGTGAATCACTGCGCAATAAATCACCCTCTTTAAACACCATGAAGTTTTTTCTTACCTTCAAAAACATCAGCACTAGGATGTCATTGTATGTTCAAAAACTTCTACCTCTGAAACTTTGGCAAAACCCCCAGTCAGAATGCTTGAATCACCGAGATCACTGATGTTTGTTATATCGAGGTTCTACTGTACATGGGTTTCAGCTCTGCAATACAACATATGATTATGCTAAGCAGTTAAGAGTTTTTTGCCAACATGATGTGTTATTCCTAATGCCCCAGGCATGAAAAATTGTTGGTAATTCTTACAATGTGTGTCGCAGGGCAAATCATTCCTACCATTGCTTTGAAGCCACATCCTTGAAGGTTCGTTTGCTAACAAAGTCTTTTTTTGGCTCTTGGTGGCGACGAGACAAACCTATTGTTAGATCTAAGGTGGTGTGTAGACTTTGACTTGAAATTTATCAGGTCTGAGAAGTATTTTGATCATATTGTGTAGATGACTTTGAAATTAGCAAAACAATGATGATCTTGAATTAAAATACAATCCTAAACCTAACCAGTAGCCAATGTTAATTAAACAACTGTCAGTGGCATCATGATGAAGATTATGTAGGCATAATCCAGTATATCCGAAAATCATTGCAAAATAATACAAATGTAATGACTGTAAGTTGTGACCTATGATGAATTTGCAGTGATTTGTTTGACATAAAGGAGACATTTACCAGGTGGTAAATGCAGTTAATTCCTTCTGAGCATCAGATTTTATGTGTAGTTTCATGTGACTTTTGATGACCGTTGTTGTAAACAAACCTGTTCTCTCTCACATACTGTACTTGTACGAACTACAAGTCACTATTTCAAGTTCACATTAACTTATATATTTTCCTTCCCTTTCACTGTTTGAAAATTGAATTGAAATCTGACCCTCAGAAGGTGAATTGAGCAGAACATTTGAGGGGGGTACATGTAGGCTAAATAAAACTGCCCAACATTTTAAAGCTTGATTGTATTTTGTAGTTGCGTGATTCATTCTATGAAAGAACTCTATTATTTTAGCTACATATATAAACAAAAGCTTTTCATGGCTGGAAGTATCTTAATCTATTGTATGCCGGTCTACAAATAAATCTTAGCATTGCTTGGATTGGTCTGAATAACCAGTTATGTAAGAACCTGTTAATTCTTACTTAGGAAAATGCAAGTTGTGGGTAATTACTGTTTTAAATACAGAAAAAACTCATAAAATTTTTACAGTGGGTCATTCTCAATATTTTAATAAGTATTTTTTGGTTTGATTTCATTCCAGTTCCCGGACCACTCATGTATTGGCATAGCTGATAAAGTCATACTTTTTGTACATAACTACTCCTCAACAAACATCTTGGAAAAGTTAACAAGTGTGGAGCAACTCAATGAAGCATCTGTTATTGAAGTGGTTGTTTCAGGTATGTTCAGATATTATGTTCATGAAAGCCCCATTAACCCTTTAAGCTCCAGTATCCACATACAAATTCTCCAAACTGATCTCTATACACTTCCTTAAAGAATGAGTTGAGAGAATTTGATAAAAGATCAAAGAATTTTCTCTTAGCTGATCATTTAATTAATTCTCATAACCTCATCTCATGATAATGTATGGATATTGTTAGGAGAAAATTGCTGTTGGTCACTACTGGGATTTAAAGGGTTAACACATTCAGTACACAAGAATGTACATGATTGTATAGAGTGGTTTTCGTTTGAGTGTCGTAAAACCAAAACCAAAGTAATTACTCTGGCCAATCACATAGGACACAGACAATACATTGAACCAATCAAAACTCGAAGTAATTACATGTGGCTGACGCAAAGCGCGGGAAAATGCATGCGAGCGCGTCACAATTGGCTTTGGTTTTACTTCTGATTGGATGAAAAGGTGGCGCGAATCTTTTAAGCCAATCGCATCGTGTAGAAAGTGCAAAACCAATTACTTTTCGACACTCAAATGAAAACCGCTCTATGTTTGATTTGATTTCTAATTTGCTTGTATGTTGGATGTCAAGAAAATTTTGAATGTTAGTAATATATCAAATACTGTCATGACCAAAATTGTTTCAATACCAACTTAAGAGTCAATTGGCTGGAATACCACATGAGTCATGGTAGCAGAAGATCAAACAAGAAATCCATATTGTGGGTTCCTGTGGGATATGATCCTGATCAGGATCAGTGATCCAAGACCACTCGGACCATGGTACATCAATGAAGCAATGAATCCTTTTCCAGGGTGGATTTATCCAGGCCATCTGATAGGGTGCGATAAAAAATCAGAAATTGTGCGATATTTTCTGGGTAGATTATGCGATAAGATAGGACTATTATGTGATAAATTATGCAATTTTTTCAGGGCTAATTTACATTGTTTTACCAGGATTCAAATGAGAAAAACCACTTTAATGTTGTTTAACGGACAATTTGAATGTAAAGGAATAATAAAACATCTATTTTAAAACAAAATAGTTAAATTTGTCCGATTATTTTGATCTGGAAAAGAAAAAGGACACTTGCTTAACATTACGTAACGTTGTTACACCGCTGACCACACTGCTTGTCTCTGAGATCAAAATGGCTGCCCAGATACCGCGATCGAAGGTTTCAGATGTCTTGGAAGGCTTTCTTTAGTGGTAAATCACCTTAAATAACATTAAGATTGGGAAAATGTTTAATTAAAGTTAGAATTCATTTTTTACGAATTATGCGATTTCCTCAAATTATGCGATCGGATGCGATTTGAGGTCAATTGTGCGAAATCGCACCATTGCGTAATATCAGATGGCCTGTTTATCAGTTCCTTTCAAATTGATGTGCTGTGAGATCCAAGTAATCTTGGGTCACTGATCCTGATCTGGATCATCCCAATGGAATGCAACCAGAGATTTGAAACTAAGCTGAGTTCTAGCCGGAGGGAGAGGGGGAGAGGAAGGCTATTTGGGGTCAATCTTTGCTGGTTATGCACTGCTGGCTTCTCAGAATCTCTACCCCAGTATTGTCTATTGTGTGGCCAGTTATACACCCCATCTTAGTCACCTTTAGGCAGATGTAATTTAGTTTGCCAGCAAGTCTATTTATGCATCTGCCTTATAAAGCCTAGTACACTGTACATATAGGTCAGTCATCAAAAAAAATTAATGAATTCAAACATTTTTTCAAATTCCTACATTGTAGATTTAAAAAAATTTTCTTAACCCCAAAATCGGGAAAGTGTGATACCCATTCTAGTAACTTTTGTGAAAGTGTAACCCCATTATAGTCAATCCACTCATGAAAATGCGATCCCAGCCCATCCAGCAGCACATCCCTATGAACCTGTTACAGCTGTACTGGGAAGTTCCCTCCCTGAGGCTTAGTTTCAGAGGAAAAATGCAGGTGTCAGATACATTGTAGAGAGGCAGTAGCATGTACCTCTCCAGTGGCAGCCCTAACACCTGCCTCTGGTGTCAAAGGGTCTGTGCCTCATGCATTAGACTGTTTAGCCACCAGCGGGCTTGTGGGATGGTTCCCTCCTTCCTTCGACCCTTGCGTGAAAGGCATCAGCCATCAATACAAAAAGTTTGGTGCATGAATCTTCACATAACAGCTGTGACATTTTCTGACATGGCCGTTATGTCACTTAAATGTGTAGTCGCGCTGTTTCAAACTCAATCGCGCATATTTCATCTCTTTCAATAAATTATTCATCAAATGTTGGCATTTTTTCAGGAGCTGAATTCTAACAGGCTGTATTGAAGTTCAGGAAAAGAAAAAGAAAGTCGTTGTTGTGTGTTCACGTCCTCCACAAAACGTGAAATTAGGCATTTTCAGGTCGTAGTCGTACAGTGACGGCAAAGAAATGTACAAAAAAGCGTGATGCACGGGCAGAGTTGTTGTTTTGCCAATTTAAACCTATTGCATTTTTGCTGTTCTCGTTGACGTCGCCGTCGTCGTTGCTTAAGCTCCCTTATGTTAATAATTATCGTGACAGAAGTATTACTTCAAGTATTATGTTAGAGCAATTTTCGTATGACCTTGAAATGAAAACGCGCGAACAAAACAAAAACAACAAACGAACGGAAATGAAGCGATTTGATTGGTTTATCGAACGGACACAATCGCACCTGGCTTTTGGTTGGTTAAGCGAACGCTCGGCTGAAAAAACTTCATGCCCGAAGAACCTTCTAGAAATCAACCGATACTTCGCTTTGACGTCATACTGCAACACTAATGGCCAATCGAACAGTGCCTTCTCCATATTAGGTTTTTCTTCGGTAGGAAAACGAAGAATCCATGTTTTGTTCTTTTCATCCATGGGCTGATAAAACAAATAACAAACGCTTACGGAAACCATTTTTCAAGGTCATACGAAAATCACTCTAATGGTTACCCTCTGTGTTCCCACAGCCCCCTTTCAGTCAGCTACTCCTTGCTTATCTCTTGTTGATAGTTTTAATAGGGCACAATGTGATTTATTGTTATTCTCTGTTGATAATTTTTCAATGCCACTTGTTTTGTAGCAAAAGTTCCCGAGGATGAGACAATCATTCGACCACACCTTCTGACGGTCCACTCCTACAGATCTCCTACATTTTGTGACTTTTGTGGTCAGATGCTTTTTGGCCTTGTAAAACAGGGACTCAAATGTGAAGGTATGAAGGCTACGGTCAAAGTGATTAGACACCTCAGGATCAGGGTTTGGCCATCTTACAGCAAACGGTAAACCGCGGTTTGCGATGAGTGGTTTCACGTTGCCCGTCTGCCCCAGCCCATTATTTGGGACTTAAGATTCAACAGGAGGAACCTATGGACAAACTTGAAGATTGAAACGGATTATAATCGTGGTTTTTTGATAACTTGTTAGCCTAACACTTTTTCAAAGTTCAGTTATCTTGTTTGTGACGTTTGGTATAATGCTACGGAGACATTATTTGTGTGACACGAAGCAGTAAATTTGCCATTCACAAGTAATTTCCCAAGTTATATAGCCAAAAAGGCCGCGTAACTGGAATTATAAAAAAAATGAGCAAGACAGTCAGGATACGGCCACTTTAAAGTCTTTGTTGTCAAAACTAAGTGCCTTCTCCAGTTTTTTATTTTCATAATCTGTGCAGTCAACGACGTATGACTTCTGCCTTCGTTACAGGATGTGGCGGTAATTATCACAAGAAATGTGCATACAAAATACCCAATAACTGTTCAGACTCAAGACATCGCACCAGCTCATCCATAGTAAGTAGTCCTTCGAATGCAAACACCCTTCCGAGGCCGTCATCACAGGTTGTTGACCCTGTTTTACTTCAGCAATCTAACTCGCTAAATGACAGCATGCCATCATTGAAAGAAAGAAGAGCTACATGGAGTGGGCGATCGGTTTGGATTGAGCCAGCGCTCTCAGGAAGAATTCAAGTGCCACACACGTTTGCTATTCATTCATACAAGAGGCCAACGAACTGTCAGATATGCAAGAGACTGGTCAGTGATGTCTCCTGTTCAGTTTTATTCAGGGATAATTTTATCACTAACTTGGGGAACTGCCTTCTTTCATAGGAAACAAAAGAGGAATAGGATAAAATTAGAACTTCCTAGAGCTCTGTTCAGTTCTCCTGCTACTAACTGCGTATACCCAGCAAATTGAAATCTTTGTGAAAGCCATGTAGTTCCTCTTCGTTATAGGCAAATTCTTGATCACAAAGTTTTCCCCTTTCCTAATTGCAACTACATATCATTTTGTAAAGTTACAAAAAGGTCAAGTTCTGAATTTCTAAAGAGCAAAGCATTGCCCCGCCATGAAAATTTCATCAGTTTATGCCTAATTAATTCTTAGTAATATGTGATGTTAAAGCTCAAATTTTGAACTAAGAATGTACAGGTTGTATGGAGTTTTAGACACGTTGCGTCTCAAAAACTTGTTAGTTGTCTGATGGCTTCAAGGTACGGTAAAACGGGCAGCAAAAAACGAACAAAAAAGAAAAAAACTTTGCAACCTTATTTGTTGCAAAGCGGGTTCGAAATTTTTTGCTAGAACGCGCTACATCGCTCTTCAACTCGTTTTGCAGCAAAGTTTTAAAACAAGTTGCACGTTTTTTGTTGCCCGCTTTTGCTGTAGCTTACTTAAACAAATGGTGCTCGGAATGTAAGTACAGTTACTTGATCTTCTCAAGGGAAATGCGGTCAATTTTCTTTTTGCAGTTGAGAGGTTTGTTTCGTCAGGGACTTCAGTGCAAAGGTAAAGAATTTTATTGTGAATTAGCACGGAGCAACTTAGGTTCGCCAGTTCTTGGCAGCGACGCCACAACAGCAGGTGGCGCCAATTACTGCGGGCCCGTAACAGTCCCTCTTCCCATAAGAGATAGATCACCACACGGGGGAGTACGTCTGCCTCTCTACGAACAGCGTGTGGGTTCTTTAATGTCCTTCAGAGTTTTTACGTGCAGGGGTTGTGAGACGTGAACTACGGTTTATCGTCCTTATCCGAGAAGACTAGAAAGTCTAACCGTTTGCAGATGTCTCTTCAAAGGCAACACTTTCTCCCCAGTTATTTTAAAGACCCTGCGTGTTGGTTCGTCCGGGGTTTGAACTAGCGGTCTCCCGCCCGGCAGACCGGTGCTTATCCGTTAACCGGGCGGCGGTTCCGTACCAGCCGTTTTGTTTCCCTTTCAACGTGTAAACGCTCGTTTTCTTCAGTGGCGGATTCAGACCTGTAAGTTAGTGGGGTGTAGTTTATTCAGTCACTAAGATAAGAGGGGGAGCTGGCCTCGAAAATATTTTTCTCAGCCGTACAGGCCTCAGTTTGGCCTAAAAATAATGTTGGGGCCCGGGTTCCCCGGGATCCTCTCCGAGATCCGCCACTGCCCTTTTTGTACCGATCTACAACATTTTTTCGTCACCGGTCGCAAAAAAATAAAAGAAAGGAAGAAACAAGGAAAACTCAGGGCTTTTAAGTCCCGTGCCCCTTTACCCGTAAGTGCGTTACAAAACCTGTTGGTGTAAACAATCAGATTTTATCTGGAATCGTCATTTGCTTCTTCCGGTGCCGTTCCGTCATTTTTAACGAATGAACGGGCCTTGAATATGCTCATGTTAGTGAGTGACTAATTTCCTTTTTTGCAGATTGTAAGTTCAATTGTCATCGGAGATGTGCCGAGAAGGCGCCAAAGAACTGCCGAGGTGAAGTGGCAATGATAGATACAGGTGACTTGAAAATACAATGGGATTTTTGGAAACCTAAAGAGCGTCATTGCCCGAAGTTAATCCTATGTTATATGCACCATCAGTATACCCTTCAGCTGGTGAATGTTTTTTTTTCCTTTTTTTTCTTATTGACCAGACACAGCGAGTTATCAGTTACATTCATTTTTTCCTTTATTTTCACTTGTAATGTCATAAAACCAGTTTTGTATGGCGTTTATATAATTGGTTTTATCTTTGATTCTTAGCCTCGCTATATTCAACTGATTCGAGCACCATTTCAGAAAGTTTCTCTGAAATGGATCTGTCCCATGATATGACCTACGGGGAGCATGATGGGTCAGAATGTGAAGTAGAGTCGGCGAGCCGAAGTAGCCAGGAGGAAATCTGCGAGCCTCCAAGTCCTTCGTCGCCGGACAGCGATCAGCAACAGCTGACTCCGACGATGAGCAATAATATTCCTCTTCAGCGGATTGTTGTATCGGTAAAACACACCAAGAGGAAAGGATCCAAAGTTCTTAAACAGGGTTGGATGGTGCACTTCACTAACAAGGATATGCAGGTGAGCACATAGCCTTCCAAGTTTAAGTAAGGCAGCGTGGCCGACCGGTAAGAGTGCTGGAATTGTAATTCGAGGGCCCCGAGTTTCATCCCCGTCCTAACCGCTGGCTGGATTTGTTCACGGTAGTCCCGAGTTCAACTCTTCCAAGCTTAAGTAAGGCGGCGTGGCCGACCGGTAAGAGCGCTGGAATTGTAATCCGAGGGCCCCGAGTTTCATCCCCGTCCTAACCGCTGGCTGGATTTGTTTCCGTTGGTCCCGAGTTCAACTTCACGGTCACGATTGTAAGACAACTGGTTTGTCTTTAACCGGGCTGTTGGGATTCTTAAACTTGTTATGGTTTATCCTCAAATGTTTGTTTCTGGCCTAATTTGTGGGCCACCTATTGTGTTACCCCAATAAAGTCAATTTTTTTAGGCCTTTGTCACGCGTTCGTAGGGAAGGAACATGTAACTAAGCCTAGCCGGCAAGCAGCCTGCCTCAGGGGCTCTGTGGGAGGGGGAAATGAAAGCTTTCTCCCTCTTTCGCCCCCAGACCCCCCTAAGAGAGCTTGCTCGCAGGCTAGACGAAACCCTAAGAACGCCTGCATGGTTGTCAAAAATTCTCAACCTCCGAAAATGCATTTATTAGGCGAACTCCGTCCGGCTAACAGCCTGAATCCTGCACAAATTATTAAAAAGGAAGTTTTGTAAAATTAAATACAATTTGCCGAAAGCCAAGGTCGAGAATTTAATAAGACAATTAATTTATTCCTTGCGCCTTTATTGGATGCGATATTGGTTCTATTCAATATCCAGCGCCGGCTTATAAAGAAAATGTTATTTTTACTCATTCCGCTTGTTTTTCTTTTTTCTTCAGAGAAGAAGGCATTACTGGAGACTAGACACGAAGTGTTTGACGCTGTTCAAGGACTCGACAAGTAGCAGATATTACAAGGTAACTTAGCTATGGAGGTTCAATGGTTCTTGCCATGATGCGAAAGTTGTCAAAGACGAGATGCAGTGCCGCCGGCTTGAGCTGAAGGGTCGGACACCGGTCGTTTCGATACAAGTCATTTCAATGCAAGCTTGCGAAAAAATTTTAACCACTTTTAGTATAGTTTTAAGTGTAGTTTGTTTTAAGTGTAGTAGCGTAAATACACTGTAGCCTCGAAATAAACTTATAGAGACGAAAAAAGGATGAAGAACTAACCTAGCCAAGTTATCCCCCAAAAGAAAAACGAAGTCATCCCGCAAAAGAAAATATATTCTTAGTGTAATAGGTTTTTTGTAGTTTTGCAGAATTTTCATGTTCTTTTTTCGCTTCTACAGGAGATACAGCTGTCAGAAATTCTTTCAGTTGATTCGAACATCGACCCCCTAGCAACGGATGCCACTCGAGCTCCACACTGTTTTGAGATGAAAACACGTGACATGGTCTACTACGTAGGGCAAGTCGAGGACGAGAACGAAACACCAGACCCAGATAGTGGCATAGGAACAGTAGCGGGGCAAGCCTGGGCCCATGTAACGCGGTCTGCTCTGATGCCAGGTTGCGTGACACCGACAACAAGCAGTGCCCCAGGATCAACAGCTGGTAATTAAACATTAGCCTGTGTAGCANGAAATAAACTTATAGAGACGAAAAAAGGATGAAGAACTAACCTAGCCAAGTTATCCCCCAAAAGAAAAACGAAGTCATCCCGCAAAAGAAAATATATTCTTAGTGTAATAGGTTTTTTGTAGTTTTGCAGAATTTTCATGTTCTTTTTTCGCTTCTACAGGAGATACAGCTGTCAGAAATTCTTTCAGTTGATTCGAACATCGACCCCCTAGCAACGGATGCCACTCGAGCTCCACACTGTTTTGAAATGAAAACACGTGACATGGTCTACTACGTAGGGCAAGTCGAGGACGAGAACGAAACACCAGACCCTGATAGTGGCATAGGAACAGTAGCGGGGCAAGCCTGGGCCCATGTAACGCGGTCTGCTCTGATGCCAGGTTGCGTGACACCGACAACAAGCAGTGCCCCAGGATCAACAGCTGGTAATTAAACATTAGCCTGTGTAGCAGGCGTTTCCTCGCGAGTTCGTCGAGAAAGTTGCTCCCTTAATTAAAATATGAAACGTTTTTAGTATGACAGCCATGACGCAGTCCCTTTAAGTTCACCAGCCAGCACTTTTACAGAAGTTTTTGTTAAGTTTAGCGAGAGGTAAAGCCTATGCTTTTCTAAACAGCCATGGGTGTCTAGAAAGAGCTACAGTGATTGTCGACCATTTAAACTGAGCGTATAATATTTCACCATTTTCAAAAACTTAGAGATTGTTCATCTAGCCTTTTTGTCATTTAATGGTATTGTGAGACAGTTAGGTTATTCCCCACAGACCGCCTAAGTTAAAACCTTTTTGCGTAGCACACCAAAAAAGCCACAGAATTTCCTCTGAACAGTTTTCGTTTGAATTATGAGATAACCCTGGGAACAAGGGTGTCACCCAGGGGTAGGGGATACAAAGTGTCCGTAGCGAACCTCTCATTTTGTTTCTCCTAAAACTCAACAACAAGTTGCCAAAGTGTTGTTTATTAATTTTCTTGTTAGCTGTCAATAACACAGATGTTGAGATGGAAGTTACACAAGAAGAAGAGAGACCTAAAGATTCACACACGGTAAGTACACTTTACTTACGTGATAAAATAACTTAACTCACATTGTTGATTAACCACAATCAGATTCACTTAGCAAGGTAACTCTTGTCACGTGATAAGGTAACTGTACTATCGAGGTAAATTAGGTGGTCGGTGAAAAATCAAACCGAGCCCACTTTCTTTCAAAAGACATAATAGGTGTCTATTCCCACGAAGACCTCGATGAGTATTGTGCTTTTAATTAAATTACTCGAACCCTAACCAGCTCGGTCCAACCAATCGGTTTCTCTTGGTAACACTATCTGTATTGCTCGAACAGAAGAAGAGAAGAATTGGGGTGAGATGGAAGAAGAGCGCGTCTCGTTCTTGTCTTGTTTGTTTGTTTTTTGCCTGTTCGTTTAGCTAGCGTCCAGAGAAAAGAAGCTCAAAACAATATTCCTGTTAGCCTGGGAACAGGCTGCCAAGTGGAGCGGGGCGAAAAAGAGCGTAGCCTGGAGGAGAAAAAAGGCACCTTTTTTTCTCCCCCAGGCTACGCTCTTTTTTCCCCGCTCGACTGAAGTACCCATTTTTCACTCAAGTTTATCCTGCAGTTTTTTTTGCCATCAGTATTGTTTGGGACGTTTTGAAACCAGTTAAACATTGCATTTTTGGTCTTTTAGGATATTAGTCACCTGTATCAAGTATTCCCTGATGAAATTCTTGGATCAGGACAATTTGGAATAGTTTATGGCGGTAAGCTGTCGCTGTATTTCTTCCATTGAAATATATCTATTTCTGAGCTTATTTATCACGTGAATTGTTCAAAGTGGAAATACAGTACTGCGGTTTTACTTGAGTAGCAGTTCAAAGTAGCTAGACTCGGTTCATGATGAATTTAAACTAGCTACTGTAATTTTCAAGGAGCAGTTGAAGCACTCTATTTTTGCCCACTGAAAAGAATCTGAATGAAGTCATTAACTGTAAACCTCAGAGTTTACTATTGACCATAGTTAATAGTTTGGAGTCAGGTTATGAAGCCCGTCAGACTCCTTTGTTCTATGTTTTTGTGTACCTGACGGTGCACAATTGCAACGTTCAATAGCGTTCCTATCATTGTAACCTTACTGACCAATAAACTCTTCGCGTAAATTTATTCGGTCACAATTTGCCAACAGAAAACAAAGGTGAAAGTGAAGAATGATCATCGCAGTAAATTTTCCAATTTAAGCAATTGGAAAGAAGAAGCTTGAAAAAATCAGGGCCCTGATTTTTTCAGGCTTCTTCTTTCCAATTGCTTAAATTGGAAAATTTGCTGCGATGATCATTCTTCACTTTCATCTACAACCGCAGTTCAAAAATGAATTATTTCATATATACTTCACATCAGAAAGCAAATGATTGTGTACCTTCATGGAGCTTCCAACATAAACTGCAGCACCGTGGTTTTTATCTTTGATGCTTGTTGTGATTCATAAAGCGTCTCCTCTAGTAACTATGTTTTGACTTAATACCATTGCAGTTTACTCTATACCAGTGTAGGGTAATTAGTTAAGTAACAGGGCTGTCAAAAAGTTTTTCTGTAGCAGGCTGATAATGAATAGTAGGCGGCTTTGGAACTCGCACCACAGGCACAAGTTTTTGAGGGCCGAGGCATCTAGGGACATTTTGAAATTTAGAGTCTTGGAAATCGCGTCTCCAGGGGTGTTCAATAGGTATTTTCCACCGCGGACGCCATGATGTTTCGTCGGAATACACGCAAGACTGGCAGCAATGCCGTCGAAATGTCCCAGGCGTTCCACGACGTCGCACGGTTCGAACGTTTCACAGATCTGAAGCTGTTTAAATATGCGTTCAATGTCATTCAAAACTGGGAAACGGATGCTTTACAATTTTATTCGATTGGTGCTTATTTTTTTTAGCAGTTATGACTCACTTATGGTGGAAGGAGATGAAAGTAGCCTGCTAAGGATGGNAATTGGAAAATTTGCTGCGATGATCATTCTTCACTTTCATCTACAACCGCAGTTCAAAAATGAATTATTTCATATATACTTCACATCAGAAAGCAAATGATTGTGTACCTTCATGGAGCTTCCAACATAAACTGCAGCACCGTGGTTTTTATCTTTGATGCTTGTTGTGATTCATAAAGCGTCTCCTCTAGTAACTATGTTTTGACTTAATACCATTGCAGTTTACTCAATACCAGTGTAGGGTAATTAGTTAAGTAACAGGGCTGTCAAAAAGTTTTTCAGTAGCAGGCTGATAATGAATAGTAGGCGGCTTTGGAACTCGCACCACAGGCACAAGTTTTTGAGGGCCGAGGCATCTAGTGACATTTTGAAATTTAGAGTCTCGGAAATCGCGTCTCCAGGGGTGTTCAATAGGTATTTTCCACCGCGGACGCCATGTTGTTTCGTCGGAATACACGCAAGACTAGCAGCAATGCCGTCGAAATGTCCCAGGCGTTCCACGACGTCGCACGGTTCGAACGTTTCACAGATCTGAAGCTGTTTAAATATGCGTTCAATGTCATTCAAAACTGGGAAACGGATGCTTTACAATTTTATTCGATTGGTGCTTATTTTTTTTAGCAGTTATGACTCACTTATGGTGGAAGGAGATGAAAGTAGCCTGCTAAGGATGGCGAACTAGCCGGCGGTTTTGGCCGGCTATATATCGGCCCTTATTGACAACCCTGCAGTAAGGCCGTTTTATGGTTCATCGATTGATACATCTCCCAGCTGGTACACAAGCAGTGGTTTGTCAATTTTGCAGGCCGTACTGAACTGTATGGCCTGCTAAATTTTGAAATTTTTTTTTCCCGCGCGCCCGATTAATATCATATCGTAATTATTGTACTAACGGGAAAACAAAATCGGTCTGTAACTTACAGTGCGGACCTCATACTCGGTTAGTAAGAGGTATATACATGTATTTCACAAGTCAGTTTCATATTTATGATTAAAATGTGAATTCTTCTTAGTGACATACAACTAATTTTTTTCATAAATGAAATCTTTGCTAAGATTTATTTTTTGCCTTTTATAGGAGTTCATCGTGAGAGTGGGCGAGATGTGGCTATCAAAGTTATTGATAAACTTCGTTTCCCCACCAAACAGGAAGCTCAATTAAAGAATGAAGTCGCGATTCTCCAGGCTAGTAGCAATTAAGCTGCGATTACACTTCCGGATTTCTACGTTGCTCTTAAATAAATGCCGAGAGACAACTGAAAGTAAAGCGATGGCTAAAATGGCAATGTTTTGCATCCCAGGTCACTCTGTAGCTCGAATGTAGTACATTGAAGGGGCTATTTCAATCTGTTTGCTATATTCTTTATAGTTAAAACTGTTTTTCACATCAATTGAGTTAGTAAAATAATGGTCCCGTGTTATTATTTAAGATAATAATTAGGCATCGAAACGTTTCCTGTCGTCTACTGCAACGGATGGCGAGGCCGATGGACATGGATTGAGACTCAAGTTTTAATGCTATGCCTACAAAAATTATCGAAAAAATTACTATACTTTGTGCCCTCTGACGAACATCGCACTCCGCTTATTGATGTATCTGTGGATGAGTGCCGATGTTCGACAAACTCTTCTTGATTGCGCTTACTTACCTATTCAGTCGGGAGATTTAGCAAAGACAACGCCACGACTGTTTGGACCGCGTGCGTGGATCTTAAAGCCGACTTGACCAATCACGAAGTAGCAAATTGATTACCAGAAGTCGCGTTCAATCCTGATCTAGCAACAAGATCTCCTCTTATCTTGTCGCCTTTTTCGTTTTCTCATTTGACGTTGCGTTGTCTTTACAAAATTTGCCTAATATTAACTTGAAAGATCAGGAACTGTTTGCTCGCTTATTTGTGCCGCCTTTTTAAAGGTTTTTGTCAACCTCTTTCCTACGCCAGAAGCGCTGTGCGAGTGAGCGCAGGAGGCTTGGCAACGAACGCGATGGCGCGTTCGTTCCAGGCGAATTCACGCGACACGCTTAACGGGTGACGTCATATCCGAACTCGCCAAGGGGAACTGCGAACGAGGCTGCTTTTTTGCGTGAGGTTGCCGTACACGGCGTAGTGCTGCTGATTGTGGGTTTGCATTGATGACTGTTACCGGCGCCGAAACCCACGGAATAGCCAAAAAGCTTTGACTAGAAGTGTAGCTTGGGATCGGCATGTCAAGTAACTAGTTTGTATTTATTTTACAGCACGTTAAACATCCCGGTGTTGTGGGCTTAGAGAAAATGTTCGAGACACCTGAAAGAGTAAGTATGTTCAGGAAAACTCATTGTCATACATCACCATACCCAAACACAATGAAACATGAAATTGCATAAAGCAAAGATGAATTCGCCACTTTATAAGCGACCAGGGGACTGGAGCCGAAATTTTGCTCCGCGATTGTTTCTGGGATTGTTACTTGGGAGGCGCTAGTCAGCTATTGGCCAATTTTTTCTCCTTGCCCCAGAGGCCTTTGCGAAAGTGAACTCGTCCCAGTTTCCTTATCGTTCAACCCTCTTAGTCCCAAGAGTGACGAAAATCAATTTTCCCATAACAATAACCAATCAATTAAGGTTTCTGGAAAACTGCCCACCTACCCCTCCCCTAACCCAACATTTTGCCCTAAGTGAGAAGTAAGTGTTAATGTTGACTTAGGGAAGGGGTAGGTGGGCAGTTTCCCAGAAACCTAAATTGACCCTGAAAATCAATACATAGTAAAGAGGGAATGATGCAAGAATTAATAAAGTGATCAGCTGACAGAAAATGCTTTGATCTTCAAAACAAATTCTCTCAGCTAATTGTCAAGGAAATATATGGAGACCGGTCTGGAGAATTTGGTTTTTGATACTGGAGCTAAAAGGGGTTAAAAACCACAACAAGTAGACTTCTCAACGATGCATTTGGCGAGAGCTCCTCTAATATTAGTGGTAATCATCTTGTTTGTCTGGTTTAGGTATTTGTCGTTATGGAAAAAATGAAAGGTGACATGTTGGAGCTTATCTTGTCAAGTCCTAAAGGCCGACTAGACGAAAGATTCACAAAATTCCTTATAACTCAGGTACGATAACAGACGATAGACTCCCCAGACCAGTCCTATAGTGGTGTGCCTCGATACTATACTGAGACTACCAACCCGATCTGACGCTTAAGGAATTTTCTTTGTCTCGCGCTCATGGCACGACGAATATCACATTCTTATATATTTCGTCTCACTCTTGATAATGATCATTAGGAAGAAACAGGGAACTTAAGCAACGGCGACGGCTACGAAAACGTCGCTTAAAAAGTGGATTCGCGCTACTTCAAACTTTATGGCACTTATTCCAACTCGTTTAATTCGTCAAATGTTGGCAAATTTTGCTAGGGTTGAATAGTAAGAGACTGTATCAAAAATTAAGGAAAACTGAGATAAAGAGAGCGATTGTCGTGTGTTCCCGTCCTCGACTCAACGTGAAATTAGGCACTTTCACGTTGTAGTCGCGTAGCGACGGCAAAGAAATGTACAAAAAGGGGTGACGCACGTGCAAAGTTGTTGTTTTGCTATTATAAACCAATTGCTCTTCTGCTGTTCTCGTTACCGTCACCGTCGTCGTTGCTTAAGCTCCCTAATGATACGCTGGAACGTAAAAAATATTTGCGTCGAGACATTTCAGCCAAATCACTTGGCTTTCATCACTCGAAAGTTAATTCAAGGTTACATAGCGGTCTTGTGACCTCAGATCGGTCACATGATAGGAGAATTGCATCATGGATGTTTGTCAGTTCTAGCCCTCCATCGCCGCTAACAGAGGGACGTGTTCTTTTAATATCCACAGCCTCCTAGATCTTCCTTTTCAGAGTGTTGTCTTCCGCGAGTATAACCTTCACGTTATTAGGTGTGATGGGATGACCTGATGTAGAGCAATGTTCTTGTATTGCAGACGATGTTTTAGGTCATGACGAAATATATCAAGCCAGTGGTGGATCCAGGGGAGGGGCCCGCTGCCCCACCCCCCCCCCCGAAGGTCTGGATCCGCCACTGTAAGCATGAGACGCAGTGTTTCATCACAAGATGAAACACGGAGAAGAGAGTTGAAAATACCTTGGCCGCGGAGTATTTTTTACGAACTTCTTCTGGTGATGAAACACTTTGTCGAATGCTTGATATAAGTTCTCCAAACAATTTACTTTAGAAGGAGAAATTAAGAATGCAAAAATGAGCAGTTTTTCATCTGATTTCCAAACACTCATTAAACATGATAATGATGTTCGAATCATCGAAACTTCTTAAGTTTCAAATTTTCTTGCTGACTGCTTCAACAAGCAACTGACCATTGGGTCTTCTTTGGTATTGCAGATTTTAGTAGCTCTGAAAGATCTTCACGCCAGAAACATCGTTCACTGTGACCTAAAGCCCGAGAATGTGTTACTATCTTCAGATACCAATGAATGTGGCTATCCTCAGATTAAACTGTGCGACTTCGGTTTCGCTCGTATAATCGAAGAGAAGTCGTTCCGTCGATCTGTGGTGGGAACACCAGCTTACCTTGCACCCGAGGTCCTGCTTAATAAGGGGTACAATAGATCGCTGGATATGTGGTCGGTTGGTGTCGTCTTGTATGTAAGGTAGGTCTCGATATTACTGTGCCGTGGATTAGTAAAAGTCAAGAGCACAGTTAATCGGAACTCATAGTTGTTATTTCTGAAAATTCTTTTCAAGTCGGTAAAAGTAAGGTGAAGTTAGCCTGCCGACAGCCGCCCCTACCCTTAAACAAAATCGGGGATTTTTTTATGAGAGAAGTAGGGTGGAGATGGGGGCTGTAAAAAGGCTAGGTTGAGTCTGCATTCGAGCCAAGTGGCTCACTAGGCCGGAGCGTAATCCGGTTTTGCAAGTATTAAACGACTAAGGATACTTCAATCCCCTCGGTCGGGTTGCCTGTGCTTGTACTGATAATGATAAATACAGCTGGGTTCACTCTGGGGGTTGAAGTGTCTTGCCCAATGAGTGATGACACAGCACAATGTCCCTGCAAAGTCTAGTGCACTTGGCACTGGTTCAAAGCGCCTCAGATCCTTATATTTGTGGAGGAAGCATGGCCGAGCGGTTAGAGCGCTAAAATTGTAATGCCAAGTCCCCGAGTTCAATTTCCTCCCTGACTGCTAGCTGGATTTGTTCTCAACAGTTCCGAGTTCAACTTTTTAGTCACATCTGTAAATAGCCAACTGGTTTGCCTCTGGCCAGTTGGGATTCTTAACCTTGTGGGCCACAAAGAAAACCTTTGGTTCGCTAGTGAATGTGTTACCGCTTTTCTAGTTAGGGTTTTTAAGTCAGGGTATAGTTACCCTATTTAGAGGTGTTCTTTACTTTTTTCTTCAGTTTAAGTGGTACTTTCCCGTTTAACGAAGAAGAAGATATACAAGATCAGATTCACAATGCTGCCTTCATGTACCCACCGGATCCATGGCAGGAGATTTCAGCTAATGGTTTGTGAAATTATATAGACATCATGAAGCGTCCACTCTCTCGGTCCTAAATCTCTTTTTCTCAGTGTCGCAGTGTCAGTGTTCGTATCGTTATTTAATATTGTTTTGTGCCAGACAGTGATCCCTAACTGCACAGAAAATTTTTTGCTTCCACTTCATTTCGATTACGAAAACTTTTGAACACTGTCCCAGTGCGGCAGTCTTCAAAACTGCTGTCTGGTGGTTGCAATGCACCGTTTCATGGCTAGTCAGCGAGAATGATGCTTTCACAAGCAAAAGCGCATTAATTTAGACGAATGGTAGTTTCCTACGCAGCCCGTAATTTGTGACGCCACGCCACGCTCTTCCTGACAACGGCTGCGCGAGAGATTAAACGAATAGTTCGGGATCTGCGTTCAGTAACTCTCCCCCACCCTTTTTTAGTTTCAGCTCCGTCCTCACACACTCTCTCTTTCATTTTTGTAAAGTGCATCCTATAGAGTTGTGTCTATTGATCTTGGCCGTCGCTTCCCCCCTCCCCCCCCCCCCCCGATCCATCCACTCCCCCAAATAATCCCATAAGTTATTGCGCGGCTTCTTTCCACCCAGGATTCCACTCTTTTCCAGTATATTATTTGTTCTCTGAATCTTACCCAGGGTTCCCCGGGGTGTCTTGTTCAGTGACTGGTCGTTGGGGAAAAAAGTGGAAGTGGAATCGGGAAGAAAATGATTGGTCATCGTTTTATATTGCTGTTTGGTCTAACACCAAGTGATTTGGTGTTCCAATTGTGTGTTTCACCGGCTAACTGTCACCATTTGCGTCCATGACAAAGTCGCGTTGCCATTAATTCAATTTTATTATACAGTGGAACTCCCTTAAGCGGCCACCCAAGATGTCGTGAATTGCCGGACACTTAAAGGGGCTGTGTCACGGCAGTCCACTTATTTTGTTTAATTTTAACAATTTCTCCCCCTCAGTAGCTATGGAACTTAAAGTAAGCAAAGAAATTACATGTAAATGACAAAATCAGAGATCCGAGACCAACAAATATGTCTCCTGAGCATTATTTTTGAAGTTGCAAGCAGCAGGGATCAACTTTAAAAACTGTTAGGCTGAACAGTTTTCAAAAACCCTAATTTCAATCCGTATCAATCCTCTTCAGTTTTGCCCATCCGTGGCAACTGTTGTTTCTGATATGTTATTTTAACCTTCCTTTAAAGTTTTAAGCGGTTATTTTTATGTTTCTCTTAATTTAACGGGCATTTTGTAATTTCCTAATTGGGCTGACTTTCGTGACACAGCTCCTTTAAGGGAGGTGGTCCTTTTACGATAGGTTCCTACTATAGAGTCATAGTCTTTTATGAGAAACGGTCCCTTAAAATGGTTGTTTCAACTGTCTTGGTACTGACACGTCTTGTATGAATACGAGGTCAGTTCATGTTGCAACAATATCTTCTTTTTCTTTCCAGCTATTGACTTAATTAACAATCTCTTACGGGTCCAACAACGCTGTCGATTCACGTGCGATAAGTCGCTTATTCACGCGTGGCTCCAGGTAAATAACCACCACGTAATTCTCTGTCAATGGTTATAATGAACTGTTACTTCAAAGCTTAATGGGCTAAACAATTCTGATTGTTGATCATATGTAGAAATCTGTTCATTGAAAAGTGAACACTTATTAGTTCCTCAATATAGATGTCAATCAAAGGGTTTTTTTGCGTGACGCGGTGTCCGTTTTCGGTAGAAAAGAAAAGGGTACTTTTGGTGTCACTTCTCGTTAAAAATGCACTTTATTTTAGTGCCAATAAGTTTAGCTCGAAAGTACTAATTGGGGACACTATTTTTACGTTCCCTATTGGAGACGGGACCGCCATTTCACGTGGTCATCCGAGCCACACGAAGGTGTAGCCGCGTGCAGTGCAAAGGCAGTACCATCATTTCTCAGTTATTTTAAGACCCAGAGTGTTGGTTCGGTCCCGGAAGTCTAACCCGCGACCTCCCGCTATGCAATCAGGCGCTCTACCATCTGAGCTAATCCTGCTGCGGTTAACTGTTTATGTTGTGCTGGTAACTAACCAGTCATTGAACTGAGTGTTCAATGCAACTTTCTTCTTTGAAATCATCTTATTCTTTTTCAGGACTTCCAGACCTGGCTGGACTTGAGGAGTCTGGAAGGTGTTGTTGGTGAGCGTTACCTTACACACGAAAGCGATGACGCCAGATGGCAAGAGTACAGTGAACAACTCCAAGCGAGTCAACACAGAGAACCAGCGCGGGAAACAACGCGGCCGACCAATAACAGATTTTTCCCGCCAATGTCACCAACAGAACGCAGGCTGCAAACGAGTATAAGCTTTTTGTGAGACAGTGGTGCTCGCATTTTTAATGAATTGGTATTAATGTAAGGGGATTTAAACGTTTTATCGCTCAGGAGACAGGCAACTTTAATGGTGTGATCTAAGCCTTTCGCTGTCAGGGCAAAAATTTAGAACAGCGATGTGGCTTCTACTATTGTTTCAGTGGATGAAATCCTTAAGTGTGAAAGCTAGTGAGCAGACCTTTCCTCTGGTGCTGTTTATTATGCTGTACAAGGTGGTTCTGACTTTTGAGTGTGTGGCTTGAATCCTATTGTGTGACTATTGTGTGGTCATAGATAAAAACATTCTTGTGCAACGAAATGAATTGAAACAATTAATATTTACGGTCTGGCAAAGCCTTATGGCCAGAACTGAAAGCTTGCGTAGAACAGCTTCCCTAAAATCACTTTTGAGCGAAAACGCACGGGGAGCGGGGAGGGTGGGTTGGAATTTTATCTACGCGATTTTATATTTTTCCGTAAATTCACCTAAAAATGTTCGATGTTGTAATTGTAATAATAGGTAATTAATTAATGAATTAATTCCAAAACGCCAAGTTACCCAACAATATTGTATTTTATCAAATTTGTCAGTGAATAATTTTAAGAACAGCAACGTAGTAACAGTCGTAAGTTATTTGTAGTTTTGTCTTTAAAAGAAGATGAGCAATTTCACGTTTTTGTACAGTTGAAGAAGGGTGTAGGAATTTTCCTGACAGTGGAAAACGTATTAATACTAAAGGAACTTTTTGTTCGCCCCATGGAAGGGATTCCAAGACAGTTGGATTCTGGATTCCACGGGGTGGATTCCGGATTCCAGGTACTTTGCAGGTGGAACTTGGATTCCGGATTCCAATCGTTAATATCATTCCGGATTCCTTAAGATGTATTCTGGTTTGCAAAGCTCAGGATTACGGACTCCACCAGCAAAAATGTCCTGGATTCCGGATTACACTAGCAAAATTTACCGGAATCCGGAATCCGCATTCCCTTACACAGGGCGATTTTATCTACCAGCTCCGATATTGTGCAAGCGTATAGGTTGAGAAAACCTTTTCGACGAACTCGTTTTGACGAGTGTGAACCTCACAAAAACCATATTGACAGAGTGTGGTAAACTAATTTGGTATGTTGGTGCAGTGTATTGTTCAACTAATGTTCCTACGCGAGAAGACTACACGGTCATATGCTTAGCTGTAAATCCTCTGCAATTTGGTCAAACCGGAGGGGGGTTTTAGTACCATAGAATGTGATAAAAGGTCACAAACGTTTTTCTTACTGATGTTATGACAGTAGATGTCTTTATGGTTGTGTTTGGTAATTTTTTTTAATGAAATTACCCATATTGCTATGCGTCGCGAAGGGTTTTCGACATTTGATATACTAAAATTCATACTTGTCTTCGAGGTTTGGGGCCGATAAAACGAACAAAAAAAACCGTCGTGAAGTTAAGGGATAAATAACACATTCGTCTAAGCCTCAGAACTAAGCATAAATTTTAATATAAACTGATCTTTTGAAATAGCTGTATGCGAAGATCATGCCTGCTAACAGAAGAGTCGAAACCGGTTTGTCGAGTAAATACGGCATAACGTTTAGTTAGAGTACCGAGGCGCAATGGTGGGGTCTGGAACTAAGACATAAGGGTTTTTTTAATTCACACCCATCAAGGCCGACCTTTCTTTCAAGAGATTGAAGCCGAATTAAAGCTACAGTAAATTAAGCCACAAAAACGTGCAACCTGTTTTGCAATACTGCTGCAAAACGAGCTAAAAGGCTATCTTGCGCATTTTACCAACCACGATCAAAAATGTCTTGCGACAAATCAAGTTTTTGCAAGTTGCGTGAATACTGAATTCAGGTAAAGTTTAGTTAGAGTACCATCAAATTACGCGGGAGTAACGCTGCAGACGGGAGTTAGGTCAGTTGTTACAAAAAAAGTTTGCCTTGAACCGGTAAAACGCGCTAAGGTAACTACAGATTTTGTAGCAAAAGTAGAACTACTTTCTACCGTCTGCAAGAACTTTTTTCATCCTGATTTGTTGCAAGGTAGGTTTGATTCGAGGGTGGTAAAACGCGCAATATCGCTATCCAACTCGTTTTGTAGCAAAAACAATTCGCACGTTTTTGTTCCCCGTTTTTATACTACTACATGAGGAATTTCTGCAATTTGATTGGCTTAGAGCAGTGGTATTTCAGCTTAATTTGAAATACCTACATGTGAAAATTACAAACCTTTTGTGGATAGTAGTATAAACAAATAATAGCATGATTTGTACGTGACATTTGGCATAAATACCACTTGTGATATTTCAAAATTGTCTCAAATTTCACTCGCCTAACGGCTCGTGAAATTACGTATAACAATTTCGAAATATCACTCGTGGTATTTATGCCAAATATCACTACAAATCATGCTATTACCTATACTAACCGTAGCTTCCTTTTTACGAAGATTTTGAAGCCAAATTAACCTTCGTTTGGCTTCAGAAACCTCTCCCCCATCCTACATCAACCAACTGATTATCCATCTTTGTTAGTCCAACAAAGTTGCGAAATAGTGGCTTAATCGGAGACTTCTGTACACAGCTAAAATATATTGTTGTCCTACACGGGTACAATACCTTTTTTTAGATTTTTCGAACTCATTTGATGTAACTATTTCATTTTGTTGGCTTTAATTTTGCGACTCTACGTGTATTTTCTTGCAGACAGCTTGCAAGTTATTTATTAGTCCAATAACTAAGAACAGTTTTAGAGTAACAAGTAAAAATGGCAACGGCAATTGGCCGGCATTGTTGGTTATGTACAGTGTAATTCCTAACAAGCATGAAGGCTCAAAAAGGCGTTTTTTGGGGGAAAGTGTATCGTTGCAAAATAAAATGTTTCCAATCACTACTTTGTTGAAGCGTTCTTAAGTCCTCACAGCTATGCATAAACGCAATTTGTAAAAGCTGAAACGTACGTGTTTTTGCATCAATTGAATTCTGAAAAAAAATGGTCTCGTTTTGTTTTTTAAGACAATATTTAGGCATTGAAATTGTTTTCTGTCGTTTGTTGCCACGGATGGCAAGAGTGGAGACGGATTAACACTTGAAAGTTGGGCCAACTTTTTCAAGTTTTACTGCTGAGCCTGCGAACATAAACAATTAAAGAATTATCATTGAGTGTTTCCATGCACTCACGTGGCCAGCATCTATGTAAATTTATTGGAAAAAAAGAAAGCGTTGGCATGAGAAAAGAGTTGAACTCCCAGAGGATTGGTTTAGGACACCAACATGGCCGCCGTTTTGATACCACTATGGCCGCCGTGACGTCATGTGAAAACTCTATTGTCTAATGGTTAGGGCTCCCTGATGAATTTGGTTGATATCTTTTTTATAACTCTACAGGAGTATCTCGTGCATTCTGTTAAGGTACTAAGTAGTATGACTTTCTCACATAATTGACTTAAAACAGCATTGATTTCCTGGTGATAGTTCCTTTGACCTTCATCTTAGCCCGCGTAGCAGACGTCGAGAGGGGATAGGGAGAAAAGGGAAAACGAAAAAGGGATTGGGGAGAGAAGGAAGGTCCCTTCCCGTTTCCCCTCTTTTACTCTTTTCTCCCTCCCCCCTTCCCCTCCCCCTGCCCCTTTTTGCGCCTGCAACGCAGGCTACCTTCATCTATCCACTTCGTGCCATGTGGAACGCAAGTCTTCAACTCGTCCAATGTAAGCGATCCACGACAGCCTTGGATTCTGGATTCCACGCCATAGATTCCCGATTCTAGGTAATGAATTTTGGGGTCCGGATTTCCCAAAATGGGGCGATTCAACACACCGGCGAAAATGGGTCAAACTCTCCCATCCCCTTAAACGCCAAGGAAAGCCTGATACTCAGGCCAGAGCATCTCTGTGTACACAAATTTTTGCTTGTGTGAATTAAACGGTGCCTGAAATACATTGTAGACTGACAGGTCAGTTAGGCGCTTTGGATGATCTGCGACAAAGAGCAGGGTTAATATGGGAGTGAACACCCAATTGCTGGTTTTTACTGTCACAC